AACATAACTTAATTATAGTTTTTTGTTTAATCAGTTGAGTACTAGACACAGGGTGTGCAGTGAAATGAAATGAAAACAAAACTGAACAAAATTAAATAAATATTTATTTTATAAAATCTCACCGAAAAAAATTACTTACACTTGGTTAAGCTCAGTTCACAATCGGATCAATTTAACGTTTTAACATATTGTACATTTTATATTTCAATTGCCAATAAAATTAAAGCCGTATTTTCAATTAAATAAACAAATGTATTGTGAACAAGAAATAACTGTTAAATTAGTCACTCCGAAAACTACATCCCCTTCCTTCTAGACCGGAATAAATCCGCTGACTTTTCAATTTTAGTCCGTTACTTAAAATATATGAGGTAAACAACATAAGTTACGGAAGAAAACTATAAACAATGCTATTAAATTTTTGGATTTCAATAGCATTTCAGTAGCATTCTGCAAAAGATAATCTCTTTCGATTTGGATATTTTAAAATATCAAAATAAATATGCGATTGCTATTTGTGCAAAATACATGCGTACATATTTAGATTCATTATCATTCATTATCTAAATGATGTTTAAGCTTAGCTTGTCTGTCAGGACAATTTTCAATTTTTGCAACTCCGGTTATAAAGATTTCGTTTATTATTTTTTAGCTGTAAGCCACTTTATTTCAGTCGATTGCTTTCGATGGCAACAAACCGAATAAATTGTGCAAAGGTTTTGCATTTTTTCCACTCTAGTTGAATTCTTTTGAGACAGACCAATAAATAAAATCATAAATAAAGCCCCTGATAAATAAACGAAATGCTTTGTCAGCGTGGCCAAGAAAAAAGTTGCTCAAGTGCTTGGACAACGTTTTCGCCTCAAGTAATTAGCAATTTATGTAACTTTGGCTCCAGCCATTTGTTACAGTAAAGCACTATAACAAAATGGCACAACTTGGGTCATTAAAGTTAACACCTTTCCGTCCTTCGAGGCCAGCCACCAAATGACTCTTAGCCAAGCATAATGAATTGTTACCTAAGCATGATTTATCTATACTCAGCACATAAATCTCAGGTTCATTGCGGAACACGTATACATCATAAGCGGATGTCAACGACTAAATGAGACCCTGGAAAAAGAACTTGATGCTAAGGATATAAATGTGTATGAGAGACATCGATTTATGCATGTTATAATGGTATATTTTAGTCTTCTCAAAATGGAATCACTGTAATACAACATACAAGAACTTATTGCAAAAAATTCAATTCTATAAACTTAATATGCAGTTGAAACTACAAAAATCTGTACATGCATTAATTACATGAATTTTACAAGTTTCCGTAGTCATTTCTGGCCTCAATCAACACTTTGACCTTTTGACCACAATATGCGCTCGTTAGTCAATGTTCGGCAATTTGATGCGAATCAATAATAAATGTAAATAACATAATATCCTCAACTGCCTTTTGGGCCGGAATTGGGGCTATGCTCTTGTTCATAGTTGATGATACTGATGTTGCTGATGACGATGATGATGATTATGCCGCAGCTAAAGTAATCGAAAGTAGAAAATTGTGGCAAAAGTGAAATATGGACATACGGTTGTTGGACACGCGCTCTTCCAATATAATTTAGCGCCACATCATGGCAGCTGTTTTCGGACAAGACAACTGCGCCAATTGACCGAAAATCAATGGCCCCATCACACACGTTCAGTCTTTTTTCATTTTTTTTTTGGCACTATATTGGAGTCCTCAACACCCACAGGGTCAAGCCCAGCATCATCAGTGGCAGAAATTTATTTTTTCTATATTTGCTTTATACTATTTTTTTTTTTTACTGATGGCCATCTGGCATGTAGCAATATATTTGCCCGCTCCAAATTGTAGTTAGACACGAACTTTAAATCACCATTGAAAATATCCTGTACATAAGCCGAATGGAAACTGCTTTACTCATCTTGCACTTGGTGAATATTTTATTGGCTGGCAAGGAATTTTTGTTTTATTTAAAGCTCTTAAAGAGCTTCCCCATAACCCAAACTATTTCTGACCAAATCATGATTTAAAGTGGCTATAATTGTCTTTATTATTGAGAGTGATACATCATTCTTAAATCTCCATAATAATGGGCTCATCAATGACATTATTTCAACTGGGCACAAAAACCAATTACATAGTGCCCCACTGCAGCACAGCAGCACATCATAATACAATACCCACACCCCTCCCTTTTTTCAAGTTGAACAGTCCAATTGTTTTTTGGCATCGCATTGGCCTGGCCTCTCGATTCTTTCAACGGATTTCAACTCCTCTGCCACTTTATTGGTTACACTTCTCTCCAAATTATTGGAATATTGCCAAGTGGTGCGCCATAACTTGTCAGGCACTCCTGCAACTATTTGCGGTTTGCCAACTAAAGACACAGAACCAAAGCCAACTAAAGACACAGAATCAAGATACAAGTTTTTCAGCAAACTTCAAGTATGCCGCAATTTGGATTGCGGCAACAGGGTGTAAGTATATCCATAGCTAAAAATCAACTACTACTCGAAATTTGTATAAAATTATTAAATTTGCATAAGCAATTTATGCATACAGAAAATGCTTGTGCCTACTGCAAGTAATGAGATCGACATGAGAATACATTGGGTCTTATTAGGGTTCAGGGTATAAAATAATTCACAAACAATCATTAAATTTCCGAATTGGGTTTTAAAATCTTAATGCAAAAGGTGGTAAATGGGCTCTTATTCAAAGAAAACTCTATATACAATGTTGGTTGCTTTGTGAATACTAACTTTAAATTTGAAAGTCTAATTTTTTTGCCAAAATTCATAAATATTTCCACAAATATCGTCAACTTTGAAAGTGATAAATTGGTTCGGTTATCAAAAGAAAAGCTGTTTAAAATATTGACATTAGGCTTAAGCTAACAAGTGCCAAGACCTTTGGCTTAAAGCCAAGTTTCGACTTTGTCCCGCTGTGAATTTAAGCGACCCAAACACTTCATTGCAATTCGGCTAAAATGCTATGGTACAATTTTTATGTCTATTCGAAAATGGCTTTGGCGCATTAGCGGCATAAAACAGGCAATAGGCATTAGCCCCAAAATCCTTTAAGAACCAATACACACAAACAGCGTCAACACACACTGTTTTGGGCGCGACGCTGTTTTATTAGCGTGCACGTGCAAGGGCCTGAATCAAGAGGAGCACAAAAAGCCAGCAGGACCCCATCGAGTTTCCTATGAAAGTCAATGCTTAATGTGCCCCTAATCGCTTTCGCATAAATTTCCGCGCGATTTTGTAATAAAGCTACGAAACCCAGTCAGCAAAACAGTCGCTGTGCGGCTCTAAATTTTATGTTAGTTTCATTGACTTTACGCATGATTTGATTTACCACTGACCAAGGGCGTGCAATGCGATTACGAGAGGTGCGGGGGGGCTACGGAACGCCCGAAAATCAAATTTAAAAAAACTTATAGATATATAATATGTATCGTAACGTTATACATACAAATAATTGTTTTAATCTATGACACGTAGTTAATATAAATCCAAAATATACAAAATAAAATGTAAGAATTTATGCAATTCCTTTTCAAAAACCCTGACTACATCCCTGCCACGACCCAATTTTAATTAAAGCAAATGCCAAATGTCAATACAATCAAAGCTCCAGCAACATCCTGCCAATAGACATTCCAATTAGAAAAGCAAATAATGAAGAGCTAAATTGAAAAACGATCAATAGGAAAACAACAAAAGAGACAAAAGGTGAGAAATGTTTTGATAAATTGAAATGGACAATTCATCATAGCCCATGGAAAGCAAAATGCCAGCACAAAGTATTCTTGTACTATGCGTTAATATTTTTACGCTTATTCTGCACTGATTGCGTGTATGTATATATATATGTATAATTTATATGTATTCACGTTACGTATATATATGATTCATATGTACAAATATGATTTGGTTATCGCACTAACTCCGCAAAATCGCTTGCTCGTGATTACAAATATAAAGCGACGTGTTACTTGCCAGTAATTATTTCGACAATTGAGTGCAAGTTGCAGCATTTCATAGTTAATATTATTAGTAGTTAAGTAAAATGCAAATGAAGAGCATATGTATCGTAGTTAACTCAAACGTATGATTGAGTTAGCATTTATTGCAAGCCGTTGATTTAAGTTGGGGCTTGTGAATAAATAAATGCACAGCCTGAGTTTTTATTTACTCTTCAGTCTCTCTATTTTAACTTACATTTGAGTAAGTCAAACTTTCAAAGGGAAATTTAGTAACAGTAATAAAATATGTTTAATGGCTGGGTACTGGGTATTTCATAGTCGAGCTCACTCCAGCAGTCTCACTTGTTTATTATTTTTATAAATTATATTTCATATCTAGATTATGACTAATTTAATTTGTTAAAACTGATTAGATTTTCAAAATTAATGCCTCTTTTTTACCATACTATTTATAGATAATGATTTTGTACATAAATATGTAAGAAGTATTCTTGACCTTGGTCAACAGCGGAGTCGATTTAGCCAAGTCCGTCTGTATGATCATGCGGTTCTCAGAGACTATAAGAGCTAGTGGTTTTAAATTTGGAACATACGTTCTCGGATTCCCTCTACATATACCTAACTGAAAACGTTATCTTTTTATACAATATAAAGTCGTAACTTTGCCGTTCAGATAAAGCGCTACATTATCATCATCACCTTATCAGCAATCCTCATCTAGCACTTATCTCGACAATCAAAAAAGATCTTAAAGATCTGTGTCTTCAGCCAGAGCATGTACAAATACAAAATATAATATACATAGAAATGTGAGTACTCGCACTATCTCATTATGTCCCACCGAATATTAAAAGACATAATATAATTTAACGAAAATTCACTGATAGCATTTTTTAGCATTCATCATTGTGATATGAGAAATATATAATACATTTTAAAGTTTGCTCAGAAAGCAAATCAATAAAAGCTTAAAAAGCCCGTCGAAATGCTCAGTTTGCATTCATAGCTCAACGCAACAACTACGAAATAGTTTATCATGGAGCTGCTAACAGTCATCCTGCTGGGCGTGGTACTGGCTCTGGTGTACCATTTCTACCAGAATACGTACAAATATTGGGAAAGGCGCGGAGTGCCATTCGAGCCCCCTGTGCCCATATTGGGCAATATGAGGGGAGTGGGCTATAAATACCACTTTCGCGACATCAATCAGCGACTCTACGATCGCTTCAAAGGCACAACACCGTTTGGAGGCATGTTTACGTTCCTTAAGCGAGTGGCGTTCATTGTGGATCTGGATCTGGTCAAGCAGGTGCTGATCAAGGACTTTACGCTCTTTCAGGATCGTGGCACCTTCAGCAATGTGCGCGATGATCCCCTGACGGGCCATTTGTTCTCGCTGGAGGGCGAGGAATGGCGCTCGATGAGGCACAAATTGACGCCAGTCTTCACATCCGGCAAGATGAAGCACATGTTTGGCATCGTTGTCGATGTGGGTAAGCGTCTAGCCGAGACTATGGATAAAGCCGTTGTCGGTAGCAGTAGCGAGATGGAGATAAAGGAGCTGTGTGCTCGCTTCACAACAGATGTGATTGGCACATGTGCCTTTGGATTGGAGTGTAATAGTTTGGCGGATCCGCATGCCAAGTTCCGAGCCAAGGGTCGACAGCTGTTCGAGAAGCCGCGTCATTATCGGATTGTGCAGTCCTTCATGTTTACAAATCCTAAACTGGCAAGAAAATTGCGCATGAAGACCTTCCCCGATGATGTGTCCGAGTTCTTCTTGCAGGCTGTCCGGGACACAGTTGACCATCGAAAGAAGCACAACATTAAACGCAACGACTTCCTCGATCAGCTGATCGAGCTTCGTGCCGAGAACGAGGAGGCAGCTCGTCTTGGCAAGGGCATTGATCTGTCGCATGGTCTAACCATCGAGCAGATGGCTGCCCAGGCATTTGTGTTCTTCATCGCTGGCTTCGAGACCTCCTCGAGCACAATGGCCTTCTTTCTGTACGAGCTGGCCCTACATCAGGATGTGCAAGAGCGTGTCCGCCAGGAGATCATAACGGTACTGAAGGAGACCTCGAATGGAGAGCAACTCACTTACGATGCCATGCTAAATATGCCCTATTTGGATCAGGTGCTGGCAGGTATGCAAAACACACCTCACATCCCATAATTATTTAAAAAATTTAATAACTTTCCACATAGAAACACTGCGCAAGTATCCAATTGTTCCGCACTTGACGCGTGTAGCTAACAAGGATTACAAAGTAGATGGCACACAGCTGGTCATTGAGAAGGACACCATGGTTTTAATACCTGTGCATAGTATACACCATGATCCACAGATCTATCCCTCGCCCGAAACCTTTGATCCCAGTCGATTCGAGCCCGAGGCCATTAAGGCCAGACATCAGTATGCTTATCTGCCATTTGGCGATGGACCCCGCAACTGTATTGGAGAACGCTTTGGCAAAATGCAAGCCAAGATTGGACTCGTCGCCCTTCTGAGAAGCTTCAAATTCGGTGTATCCAAGAAGACGGAGGTGCCACTGACCTTCAGTAGACGCGCGTTCACGCTGAGCACCCAGGCCGGCATTCACCTGATGGTGGAACGCATTTAGGTATTCCAATTTTTGTACTTAAAAGAGACGCTGATAATTATTGCAGAGGCTAAATTATTTGGTGTGTGACTTTTCAATTGATGTTAGCTAATATCGGAATTGATTAGAAACAATAAAAGAAAGAAAATAATGAAGAAAACCATATAGATTTCAGATCAACATTGCATAGATAAAAATAATAAATAACAAGGAACATTGAGAACAAAATACTCTTCCGATCACAGTATTTTTGTGAATACTAAAATTTCACTGAGTTATAATCATATTCGGACATATTTGGAGTTGAGAGAACTGAATCGAAAGAGTCTCAAAATAGTTTTTTTTACCCTTTGGCTGCTCTGTTTTTATTTATTTTATATATTGCAACATGTTGACGTTTCTGACTTTGCTTTATAAAAAATATTTAAAAATTCAAGATATGGAAAATAGCTGTTATCTTAAATTGTTGAGACTTAAATACGATTGTAAACACAGTATATATATGTATATATGAATGTGTATAAGCACTCGTTAATTTTTAGATAGAGAGTGTCAGCGAGAAAGTGAGACAGAGAGAGAGAGAGAGAGAGAGAGCTAGAAAGCTTTCATTGTCAACTGCATCACATTTTATATTGGCTTTGGCTGCAGTTGTAATTTGTGTTTTGCAGCAACATGTTGTGTCTGGCTTTCTTGCTCGCTATTGCCGTCGGAGCTATCTATGCCCTTCTGGATCAACACTACTCGTACTGGCGCCGACGTCATGTGCCTGGCGAGCGGCCTCGTTTCCTGTTGGGTAACATGGGCGGGTTAGGGCGTCACTGGCACTGGACTGACATCGATTGGAGGATTTATCAGAGGTTTGCGGGACGAGAGCGTTTCTGTAGCTTTTACACATTTCTCACAAAGGCACTGTTCCTGCTTGACCTGGAACTGATCAAACGGATAATGATCAGCGATTTCAATAGCTTTGCCGATCGCGGTCTCTTTCACAATGTACGCGATGATCCGCTGACGGGCAATCTACTCTTCCTCGACGGGGAACAGTGGCGTTGGCTGCGTCTGCATTTGACTCCAGTGTTCAGCTCCGGCAAGATGAAGTTCATGTTTCCTATGATGGTCAAAGTGGCGAAGCAATTGGGCAATTTTCGCGGTTTTCGCAACACGGATCACTTCAAGGACATTCTGACGCCGCTCTACGAACGCTTCAAGTCGACGGGATCACCTTTTGCAGGCATATATTTTATGCTGAGACCTGTGGTGCTGGTGTTGGATCTGGAGCTGGCCAAAGAGGTGCTGATCAGGGATTTTGCCAACTTTGAGGATCGCGGCATGTATCACAATGAACGAGATGATCCGCTCACCGGCCATCTATTTCGCATCGATGGACCGAAATGGAGACCGCTGCGTCAGAAAATGACGCCCACCTTCAGCTCCGGCAAGATGAAGTTTATGTTTCCCATTGTTTGTGCTGTGGGCAAGGAACTTGCTCAGATCTGTGCGGAGCAGTCGCAGAATTCGATTTGTGGCATTTTGGAAGTGAGTGATTTGATGTCCAGATACACCTCAGACGTGATTGGCAGCTGTGCCTTCGGTCTGGACTGCAATGGACTACGCAATCCGGAGGCTGAGTTTCGCACAATGGGCAGACGAGCGTTGACCGAGCGACATCACAACAAACTCATCGATGGCTTCATTGAGAGCTTTCCGCATTGGGCACGACGACTGCGCCTCCGTCAGGTCCATCCAGACATTACGAAATTCTACCAGCGCATTGTCCGGGACACGGTTAAGGAGCGCGAGTCGCAAAGAATTGTGCGCAACGATTTCATGAATCTGCTCATCGAGATGAAGCAACGAGGCGAGCTCACCCTGCCGGAGATGGCCGCCCAGTCGTTCATATTCTTTGTCGCCGGTTTCGATACCTCAGCATCGACCCTAACCTTTGCCCTCTACGAACTGGCCAAGCAGCCGCAAATCCAGCACAAGCTCAGGCAAGAAATCCAGGAGTCCCTGCAAAAGCACGAAGGTCAATTCACATACGAATGCATGCAGGAGCTGCGCTACATGGAGCTAGTCATTGCAGGTGAGTGTTCGGTGAATATTCATAACTGCAAAACTTAATTACCATTATGAAGGCCACCTTTAATACGAGTGTAATCTAAAACCTCAACATTTTTATTTGATTTAATATTATCGATCATTCCATCCAGTGGTATATATCTCAAGATTGAGGAACTACAAAATATATAATATTATCAAAATACGGGGTATTGAGTAAGTCAGTCATTTTAAGGGTAATCAACTCATAATTAGTACTTATCACAGTTATATATTAAACACTTACTAAATATCAAGTCAACTTGCTTTAATATAATTTTGTATTGATCTGAATAAGGTTGGCCATTCTTAAATTCAAATCTATATAAACACTGAACCCATTAAAAATGTTTGAAAAGGGGTATCTATCACACCCAATAAAGTATATATATTCCTGATCGGAATCAATAGCCGGGTCACCATGGCCAAAATCATCTGTTCAGAGGCTATAAGGACTAAAGAATATTCAAATATAATTTAAAGTGCTATAAGGTTTAAACAAAGAAACAAACGCAAAATGTTTAAATGCCAATTTGTTTCATGTTATATCACGTTTGAAAAATAAACTTTTTTTTTATTAAAATATTAATTAATTAACTAAAATTAGTCAAAAACTGAAAACTGAAAACTTATCCAAAATACATGTCAAAGCTTTTTTGCCCCAGTCTTAGAAAAGTAACATATTAGGCGCATAAAAACTTAGATAACAATGTTAATACTTAGTATGATATCCTTTAGCCTTAGCAACTTCCCTCGACCTATTATTCAGGGAAGATACCAGCTTCCGGGTAGTTTCTGGACTGATATTGGTCCACTCATCCAGCAGAGCATTTTTGAGATCGGATCTGTGATTCCGGAAGTTATTTTCCAGCAGAGCCCACAAATTTTAAATAACATTTAAATCTGGAGATTGGGCAGGTAGAATTATCATGTGGAGGCAGTTCCAGATAAGCCAGGACTGTACTAATCCGGACTTATGATTGGCTGTTGTCCTAGTCGTTGTCGTGGTAGAACCGGAAAGTACGCCGGATTTCTAGCTTCTAGGACTTTAGAGTACATTTTCCTTTAATATATTGAAATACACACTCTTGTCCATTGTTGTTTCAAAAAACACCAAATTTCCGACGCCGGCTTCCGAGATAGATGCCCATACCATGACACTTCCTCCGTCGTGCTTGACTGTTGCCATTAGGATTTTGGGACTCAGCTCAGTATTGGACTTTCGCCACACATAATTTTGTCCGCCTGAGCCAAAAATGTTGAATTTGGGCTCATCTTCAAATATGAATGTGTTCCAGAACTCCAAATCATTGTCCAAATGGGTTTTGACGAATATCATCCTAGTCCCTTTATTTTTTGCGCTTAGAAAGGGCTTCTTTCGTGGTACTCGGGCATTAAAGTCATGGTTGCGCAGAACCCGGCGCACAATTTCCACACTGCACTTTTTCCCCATTTCATCCTTCACCTGCGAAGTCAGTTTTGGAGCCGATAGCTTGGGATTTTCCCCTATTTTCCTGATGATCCTCCGCTCTTCCTGTTCGGTGAAAATCTGGTTTGGTGCCATTCTGCCCTTGTCCTCTTTCCGATTTTCGTCGACGAAGCGCCGAATGATGTTGAATACAGTTGATTTGCTTAGATTTACCATTTCAGCTATTTGGCGATGTGAGTATCCGATCTTGAAGTGTTCCAGGATGAGATTCCGTTGTTCAATGGTGGTCCGTTGTCCATAGTCCTTGTTGCACCCGAGATGCAAAATATAACTAAACTGACTACGGTCTATTGATACCGAAAATAATCAACCTGAAGTAAAAAATTCGGGTTTTATGGCACCCAGGTGTCCATAACGCCCCTGTACCAAATAATATGTGACCATAAATTAAGGTACTTAATTACATAGGCCGACCTAACAGGAAGTCCAGTTTATGGGGGTAATATAGTCATTTAGGTGGTTAATATATATACCTGCTATCGGTCTTTGGAAATTTTTGAAAAATATTGAATAATTAGTTTATGGCAGGCAATTAAAATTGTTGCTAGGCACTGTCCCTCATAAGCTGCGAGACACTGTATGTAGTTAACTCAAACGTATGATTGAGCAAGCATTTTTTGCAAGCCGTTGATTTAAGTTGGGGCTTGTGAATAAATAAATGCACAGCCTGAGTTTTTATTTACTCTTCAGTCTCTCTATTTCAACTTACATTTGAGTAAGTCAAACTTTCAAAGGGAAATTTAGTAACAGTACTAAAATATGTTTAATGGCTGGGTACAGGGTATAACACAGTCGAGTTCACTCCACTACAGCAGTCTCACTTGTTTATTATTTTTATATATTATATTTCAAATCTAGATAATGACTAATAAAATTGTGCCCTTACTCTAAATTTGTTAAAACTGATTAGATTTTCAAAATTAATGCCCTTTTTATACCATACTATTTATAAATAATGATTTTGTACATAAATATGTAAGAAGTATTCTTGACCATGGTCAACAGCGGAGTCGATTTAGCCAAGTCCGTCTGTATGATCATGCGGTTCTCAGAGACTATAAGAGCTAGTGGTTTTAAATTTGGAACATACGTTCTCGGATTCCCTCCACATATAACTAACTGAAAACGTTATCTTTTTATACAATATAAAGTCGAAACTTTGGCTTTGGCCGTTGGCTGTTCAGATAAAGGGCTACATTATCATCTCAATATGTACCACCGAAAATTAATAGATGTAATAAAATGTATCGAAAATTCACTGATAGCAGTTTATAGCATTCATCGATGTGATATGAGAAATATTTAATACATTTTAAAGTTTGCTCAGAAAGCAAATCAATAAAAGCTTAAAAATCCCTTTGAAATGCTCAGTTTGCATTCATAGCTCAACGCAACAACTACGAAATAGTTTATCATGGAGCTGCTAACAGTCATCCTGCTGGGCGTGGTACTGGCTCTGGTGTACCATTTCTACCAGAATACGTACAAATATTGGGAAAGGCGCGGAGTGCCATTCGAGCCCCCCGTGCCCATATTGGGCAATATGAGGGGAGTGGGCTATAAATACCACTTTCGCGACATCAATCAGCGACTCTACGATCGCTTCAAAGGCACAACACCGTTTGGAGGCATTTTTACGTTCCTTAGGCGAGTGGCGTTCATTGTGGATCTGGATCTGGTCAAGCAGGTGCTGATCAAGGACTTTACGCTCTTTCAAGACCGTGTGACCTTCAGCAATGTGCGCGATGATCCCCTGACGGGCCATCTGTTCTCGCTGGAGGGCGAGGAATGGCGCTCGATGAGGCACAAATTGACGCCAGTCTTCAAATCCGGCAAGATGAAGCACATGGTTGGCATCGTTGTCGATGTGGGTAAGCGTCTAGCCGAGACTATGGATAAAGCCGTTGTCGGTAGCAGTAGCGAGGTGGAGATAAAAGAGCTGTGTGCTTGCTTCACAACAGATGTGATTGGCACATGTGCCTTTGGATTGGAGTGTAATAGTTTGGCGGATCCGAATGCCAAGTTCCGAGCCAACGGTCGACAGCTGTTCGAGAAGCCGCGTCATAATCAGTTTGTGCAGGCCTTCATATTTTCCAATGTTAAGCTGGCAAGAATGTTGCGCATGAAGACCTTCCCCGATGATGTGTCCGAGTTCTTCATGCAGGCTGTCCGGGACACAGTTGACCATCGAAAGCAGCACAACATTAAACGCAACGATTTACTCGATCAGCTGATCGAGCTTCGTGCCGAGAACGAGGAGGCAGCTCGTCTTGGCAAGGGCATTGATCTGTCGCATGGTCTAACCATCGAGCAGATGGCTGCCCAGGCATTTATATTCTTCATCGCTAGCTTCGAGAACTCCGCGAACGCAATGGCCTTCTTTCTGTACGAGCTGGCCCTACATCAGGATATGCAAGAGCGTGTCCGCCAGGAGATCGAAACGGTACTGAAGGAGACCTCGAATGGAGAGCAACTCACTTTCGATGCCATGCAAAATATGCCCTATTTGGATCAGGTGCTGGCAGGTATGCAAAACACACCTCACATCCCATAATTATTTAAAAAATTTAATAACTTTCCACATAGAAACACTGCGCAAGTATCCAATTGTTCCGCACTTGACGCGTGTAGCTAACAAGGATTACAAAGTAGATGGCACACAGCTGGTCATTGAGAAGGACACCATGGTTTTAATACCTGTGCATAGCATACACCATGATCCACAGATCTATCCCTCGCCCGAAACCTTTGATCCCAGTCGATTCGAACCCGAGGCCATTAAGGCCAGACATCAGTATGCTTATCTGCCATTTGGCGATGGACCCCGCAACTGTATTGGAGAACGCTTTGGCAAAATGCAAGCCAAGATTGGACTCGTCACCCTTCTGAGAAGCTTCAAATTCGGTGTATCCAAGAAGACCGATGTGCCATTGATCTTCAGCACGCACAACTTCACGCTGCGCCCCCAGGCCGGCATTCACCTGAAGGTGGAACGCATTTAGGTATTCCAATTTTTGTACTTAAAAGAGACGCTGATAATTATTGCCGAGGCTAAATTATTTGGTGTGTGACTTTTCAATTGATGTTAGCTAATATCGGAATTGATTAGAAACAATAAAAGAAAGAAAAAAAATGAAGAAAACCATATAGATTTCAGATCAACATTGCATAGATAAAAATAATAAATAACAAAGAACATTGAGAACAAAATACTCTTCCGATCACAGTATTTTTGTGAATACCAAAATTTCACTGAGTTATAATCATATTCGGACATATTTGGAGTTGAGAGAACTGAATCGAAAGAGTCTCAAAATAGTTTTTTTTACCCTTTGGCTGCTCTGTTTTTATTTATTTTATATATTGCAACATGTTGACGTTTCTGACTTTGCTTTATAAAAAATATTTAAAAATTCAAGATATGGAAAATAGCTGTTATCTTAAATTGTTGAGACTTAAATACGATTGTAAACACAGTATATATATGTATATATGAATGTGTATAAGCACTCGTTAATTTTTAGATAGAGAGTGTCAGCGAGAAAGTGAGACAGAGAGAGAGAGAGAGAGAGCTAGAAAGCTTTCATTGTCAACTGCATCACATTTTATATTGGCTTTGGCTGCAGTTGTAATTTGTTTTTTGCAGCAGCATGTTGTGTCTGGCTTTCTTGCTCGCTATTGCCGTCGGAGCTATCTATGCCCTTCTGGATCAACACTACTCGTACTGGCGCCGACGTCATGTGCCTGGCGAGCGGCCTCGTTTCCTGTTGGGTAACATGGGCGGGTTAGGGCGTCACTGGCACTGGACTGACATCGATTGGAGGATTTATCAGAGGTTTGCGGGACGAGAGCGTTTCTGTAGCTTTTACACATTTCTCACAAAGGCACTGTTCCTGCTTGACCTGGAACTGATCAAACGGATAATGATCAGCGATTTCAATAGCTTTGCCGATCGCGGTCTCTTTCACAATGTACGCGATGATCCGCTGACGGGCAATCTACTCTTCCTCGACGGGGAACAGTGGCGTTGGCTGCGTCAGCATTTGACTCCAGTGTTCAGCTCCGGCAAGATGAAGTTCATGTTTCCTACGATGGTCCAAGTAGCAAAGCAGCTAGCACTGAGCGCTGAGCAGCAGCTGGGAGAATTTGAGGCCAAGGATTTGTGTGCACGCTTCACCACCGATGTGATTGGCAGCTGCGCCTTTGGCCTCGACTGCAACAGCTTGGCAAATCCGCAATCGGAATTCCGTGAAATGGGTCGATCCATAACGGAACGGCCACTGCATCAAGGTGTCGTTCAGGCCTTCATGTTCTCCGAACCGCAGCTGGCGCGGCGACTCCGGTTGCGACTCTTTCGGCCCGAGGTCAGCCGATTCTTCATGGAGACGGTGCGCCAAACGCTGGACTATAGAAAGCGAGAGCACATCAAGCGCAACGATCTTATCCAGCTGCTCATCGAGCTGGGTGCGGAGACCGAGGAGGACAAATTGAGTTTCGAGCAGATTGCCGCCCAAGCCATGGTATTCTTTCTAGCCGGCTTTGATACCTCCTCGACGACAATGTCATTTTGTCTGTACGAACTGGCACTCAATCCTGAGATACAGCAGCGCCTACGACTTGAAATAAAGGAGACATTAAAGCGTCACGGGGAACAGCTGAGTTATGAGTGCCTGCAGGAGATGACCTACCTCAATCAGGTCGTCGCGGAAACATTACGCAAATATCCAATTCTGCCGCATCTGCTGCGACGCACCACAAAAGAATACCAAGTACCAGGATGCAGTCTAATCCTGGAGAAGGGCATTCGTGTTATGATACCCGTGCATAGCATACACCATGATCCAGAGATTTATCCAGATCCCGAACGCTTTGATCCCGATAGATTTGAGGTGGAGGCAATTAAATCGCGACATCCGTTTGCATATTTGCCTTTTGGCCAAGGACCTCGTGCCTGCATTGGTGAGCGTTTTGGCCTGATTCAGGTGAAGATTGGCATCGCCACCCTGCTGCATCATTGTCAGATTCAGAGCACGCCGAGAACTCAGATTCCATTACGATTTCAAAAGAAGAATTTTCTAATTGCATCCGAGTCGGGCATTCATTTGAAAATCGAACGATTTGCAGCTGACTAAGCATAAATTGTGTTTTTTTTTTTTAACATTTGTGTAACTCATTTTAAGTTATCTTAAACTTGTTGCTGTAACACATTAATTGTCAAAATAAAACAAAATTCCATCCATAACCTACGCAAACTGAGCACACAAAACAAAGCTTTCACGAGCGAAAGCTCTTGAAAGCTCAAGTTCTTAATGTCTCTCTCTCTCTTTCTCTGTCTCTCTGCCTCTTTTCCTCTCTCGCCCTCTCTAAATTGTTCTCTCATGTTATATTGCTCATTGTGTTTACAATTTATACTTTATGGGATCAACGCATTAGAGTCAAACATGATAACTCTTTGTATGTGAATTATATATGTATTTAATATATATTTATATATATTTTTAAGATTACTTAAATATTTTTATTTCTCACTGACTTACTTATACACTCCCTTCACAAGCATATCATATCATATGACAAGCCATTATCATAAAATATGAACAAAAGGAAAAAGAAAAAGACGGAAACTTTAGAATTAAGAATTGATTATCATTCCTTAATATAACATTTATATATTTTAATTAATTTATTTTTTATTCGATAACAAACTGCATTTTCTGATAAAACACTTGCGTAACAACCGATTACAGAAAGGGCAACATGCATGTGAGAACGCCGCATTCAAAGGCATCTCAATTATCGGGCACTGCCTTTTATCAAGTTTTGTCAAGCTGTCTCTGTCTCTGTCTCTCTCTCTCTCTCTCTCTCTCTCTCTCTCTCTCTCTCTCTCTCTCTCTCTCTCTCTCTCTCTCGCGTAATATCTCTGCCTATCCTCCGTCCATCTCTCTCCATCACACTCTCTCTATATTTTTGTCGCACTCTTTCAATTAATCTTTTCGAGAGCAAGTAAGCCGAGCAAGTGAGCGAGGCGTGTTTGAGTCGCAGTTGTCGTTCATTAGAAAACAATAATAAGAATAATAATAAGCATCGGCAAACAATTGAAAGTGAACAGCGTAAAATGCTGGATGTGATCGCGCTAATTCTGATTACACTGGCCATCGGGTTCTGGTACGTGCGCACCCGTCTCAGCTATTGGGTGCGGCGCCAGATCAGCCATGAGCAACCCACATTTCCCATGGGCAATTTTCGCGGTTTTCGCAACACGGTTCACTTCAAGGACATTCTGACGCCGCTCTACGAACGCTTCAAGTCGACGGGATCACCGTTTGCAGGCATATATTTTATGCTGAGACCTGTGGTGCTAGTGTTGGATCTGGAGCTGGCCAAAGAGGTGCTGATCAGGGATTTTGCCAACTTTGAGGATCGCGGCATGTATCACAATGAACGAGATGATCCGCTCACCGGCCATCTATTTCGCATCGATGGACCCAAATGGAGACCGCTGCGTCAGAAAATGACGCCCACCTTCAGCTCCGGCAAGATGAAGTTTATGTTTCCCATTGTTTGTGCTGTGGGCAAGGAACTTGCTCAGATCTGTGCGGAGCAGTCGCAGAATTCGATTTGTGGCATTTTGGAAGTGAGTGATTTGATGTCCAGATACACCTCAGACGTGATTGGCAGCTGTGCCTTCGGTCTGGACTGCAATGGACTACGCAATCCGGAGGCTGAGTTTCGCACAATGGGCAGACGAGCGTTGACCGAGCGACATCACAACAAACTCATCGATGGCTTCATTGAGAGCTTTCCGCATTGGGCACGACGACTGCGCCTCCGTCAGGTCCATCCAGACATTACGAAATTCTACCAACGCATTGTCCGGGACACGGTTAAGGAGCGCGAGTCGCAAAGAATTGTGCGCAACGATTTCATGAATCTGCTGATCGAGATGAAGCAACGAGGCGAGCTCACCCTGCCGGAGATGGCCGCCCAGTCGTTCATATTCTTTGTCGCCGGTTTCGATACCTCAGCATCGACCCTAACCTTTGCCCTCTACGAACTGGCCAAGCAGCCGCAAATCCAGCACAAGCTCAGGCAAGAAATCCAGGAGTCCCTTGAAAAGCACGAAGGTCAATTCACATACGAATGCATGCAGGAGCTGCGCTACATGGAGCTAGTCATTGCAGGTGAGTGTTCGGTGAATATTCAAAACTTAAATACCATTATGAAGGCCACCTTTAATACGAGTGTAATCTAAAACCTCAACACTTGTATACCATTGTCAAGGCTATTTTAATTTGGTTTGACAATATCTTATCTGTGGATTTCATTTAAAAAAAAGAAGGGTATAACTGCTATGTGTATGTAACAGGCAGAAGCTAGCATCTTTGACGCATTTGATTTAATATTATCGACCATTTGAAAGGCAAAGCAATTCGATCAATATATAATCTGCCTTGACATATTATCGATAAAGTGTACAAATTGCATTAAGATTGTACAAGAAGCTTCGAAGTTATAGGCAACAACTTTCTCTTACTTGTTATAACAACCAATTATATTTATTTTTTCTTATTCTCAAGAAAATATTGATTAAATATTAATCATTATTTTTAAAAAATTTATTTTAAATATATATTTTTTCTTTCAGAGACACTTCGAAAATATCCCATTCTACCGCATCTTTCGCGCATCTGTCGTAATTATTATGCGGCCAAGGGCAATCGCCACTTTTACATAGAACCCGGCCAGATGCTGCTGATACCCGTTTATGGCTTTCATCATGATCCCGAATTATATCCAGAGCCACACAAATTTATACCGGAGCGTTTCATGGCCGATCAGATGGCAGAACGGCCCACAGCATCATGGCTGCCCTTTGGCGATGGGCCGCGCAACTGCATCGGGATGCGATTCGGCAAGATGCAGACCAGTATTGCATTGTTTCATCTACTGCAACGCTTTCAGTTCAGCGTCTGTCCGCGAACCGTATCCAAAATTGACTTTGTTAAGTCCAACATTCTGCTGAGTCCGTCCAGTAGTATATATCTCAAGGTTGAAGAACTACAAAATATATAATATTATCAAAATACGGGATATTGAGTTCTTCAATCATTATAAGGGTAATCAACTCACATTTAATACTTATCACAGTTATATATTAAACACTTACTAAATATCAAATAAACTTGCTTTAATATAATTTTATTATTTTAAGTTCGGTGTGTTATTGTAAATGAATTTCACGATGTATTAATCTGAATAAGATTGGCCAATCTTAAATTCAAATATATATAAACACTGAACCCATTAAAAATGTTTGAAAAGGGATGTAACACCCAATAAAGTATATATATATTCTTGATCGGTATCAATAGCCGGGTCACTATGGCCAAAATCATATGTTCAGAGGCTATAAGGACTAAAGAATATTGGAATTTAAGTTATTATATAAATCTAGTCAATCAAGTTTACTACATTTTATCGATAACCACGCCCGTTTTGCGAATATCGATACATATCGATGTCCGGTGGCAATAAAAACCACAGTTTTAAGGCAATTATATATTAAAAAATTACTGAAGAGCTCCATTAAGATCAAAAAAGAAATACCACAGTTATAGTCGTATACGTATACTCATATTGATGTCAGTACTATCAGCAGGCGCGAGCTTTTCATGCATATGTAACAACTGATTGCAGGGTATATCGTAGTCGAGCTTACTCGACGATAGCGTTCTTATTTGTTTTGTTTTTGTTTGTTGACTTATCGCACTAACTCAGCATTATTGCTTGCTAGTCTTTCATATGAATAGATATGTATAGTAGAGGCTTGGCAACAAATATTTCGATAATTGAGTGCAAATTGCAGCATTCAAAACTTTGAACGTGAAACATGTTGTGATTCTAATCGTAGTTAAATAATATGCGTAGTCTTAAACTACACATGAATGGATCAGAATATATGTATATATGTAGATAAACAACTCAAACGAAAAGCTTTCGGAGAGCGAGCTTTAGCCTATAAATATTTGTGGTTATTCAATTTGAAGCTCAGTCTGCTAAAATGTCGCTTATTGTAACGTTTATCGGTATTATTGTGGCACTGCTCATTTACGCAGTGCGTCGTAGATACAACTATTGGAATCGTCGTGGTATTCCGCACGATGTACCCAAGTTTCCCAAAGGCAATATTGGCGATTGGCCGTCCAAGCGGCAAATTGGTGTGATCTTTGGGGACTACTATAAGAAATATAAAAATTCCAAGAGCCCCTTTGCCGGCTTCCTATTCTTTTTCACCAAGAGCGTTGTGATTACCGACATGGAACTGTTAAAACGCGTCTTGATCAAAGACTTTCAAAATTTTGAGAATCGCGGCATATTTTACAATGAAATCGATGATCCCCTATCGGCAACTTTGTTCAGCATTGAGGGTCAGAAATGGCGCCATTTGCGCCACAAAGTGACGCCCACCTTCACCTCCGGCAAAATGAAGCACATGCTGCCCATCGTTCTGAAAGTGGCCGAGGAATTGGCCAACGTGTTTAAGGAGAAGGTCACATCACCAAAGGTGCTGGAAATCACCGATCTAATGGGTCGCTATACGGCCGATGTGATTGGCACCTGTGCGTTTGGCATCGATTGCAACAGCCAGCGCAATCCCGATGCCGATTTTGTCAGCATGGGCAAGCGAGCTGTTACGGAACGAGCCTATCATGGACTTTTAGATTTCTTCATTTTTGGCTTTCCCAAGTTAGCGCGTTTTTTGCATTTGCGATTAACAGTTCCGGAGGTTGAGGACTTCTACATGCGGATCATCAAAGACACCATCGATTATCGTGTGAAGAACAATGAGAGGCGCAACGATTTCATGGACATGCTAATCCAAATGTATAAGAAGCAACAGATGGGTAACACCGACGAGGGTCTGACCTTTAATGAGTTGGCCGCCCAAGCGTTCATTTTCTTTGTGGCCGGTTTTGAGACCAGCTCCACAACCATGGGCTTTGCCCTATACGAGCTGGCCCAGAATCAGGATGTGCAAGACAAACTGAGAAAGGAAATTCACGAAGTGCTTGCCAAGCATAATAATGTGTACTCTTACGACAATATTAAAGAAATGGCATACCTCGAACAGGTTGTGATGGGTAAGTTATAAGAGCCACATTCCTTTGTATATGCATTGTATTATTTCGTGTTCCCATTTAGAAACGCTACGCAAATATCCCGTGCTGGCTCATCTTACACGCAAGACCATTGCGGATTATTCGCCGGAAGATCCAAAGTATTATATTGAGAAGGATACGGCTGTTATTGTGCCCGCCATTGGCATTCACTATGATCCCGACATCTATCCCGAACCACACAAGTTCAAGCCAGAGCGCTTCACAGAGGCTGAGATTGCGGCTCGGCCATCCGTTAGTTGGTTGCCCTTCGGCGATGGTCCACGGAACTGCATTGGATCTCGATTCGGTATGATGCAGTCGTGTGTGGGTCTGGCCCATCTGATAAGCGACTACAAGTTCAGTGTGTCGCCCCAAACGACAATACCCATGAAATTTGTTCCACAGAATATATTGTTATGCTCTGAAAACGGCATTTATTTAAATGTCGAACGGGTTGGCAAATAAAACGAAATTGAAACACTGGTTATGCAAACAGATAACATGTTATATCGCACAGGTCAACAATTGGTTGTTGTTACCCGCTTCGATTATTTTGTCGTATCTAATCTAACAATGATTAACACAAAACATTCCACTTGGAATTAATCTAAGTTTGTACACACATTTTCTGCCAACCACTTAATAATTGATTATTATAAATAATAAAATACATGACTCTTTAGTATTTTCGTAATCTTTGCCTTTGTATATTTAATTTGATTTTACGAATGATATTTCGACATCAAAGTGACCAAATACTTGTTACACAAGTTTAGTTGATTTAATAAAAAAAAGGTTTCTATAATAATATATATGATTCTTGCATTTTAATTGTACAACAAATGTGTACAATATATTATTAAATCTCAACTCATGTCATAAAAAAAAGAGTTCAAATGGAATTGCGAGGAAAGTTCTCAGATTTGTTGTGGGTCAACGGATGAAATCTGGTAATACCTCGTTTGTCACACGTGTGGAATAAAAAATTAAAATGCTAATTTTAAGTGAGGTCTTGACCCGACTAGCGCGAGTCATAAACATTGGCTATATAAATGCCGGAGATGGCGAGCAACTGTTGACCAGTCTAAGTCCTATTAGCCAAGTGAAATGTTCGTCTCCTACTCGCTGTGCGTGTTCTTCCTAATCTGTGCCTATATATGGATGCAGCAGCGATTATCCTATTTTAAGCGTCGTGGCATTGCACATGAGACACCCTGGCCACTGGTTGGCAACATGTGGGGTTGGCGAATCACCAAACATACCTCGGAGATATTGCAGAAGCTCTACTTTAGGTACAAGCACCTGGGACCCTATGTGGGTGCCTACTTTCTAATGACTCCCATTTGGATTGTCACCGACATGGAGCTGTTGAAACGCATCTTTATCAAGGACTTTGCCAACTTCGATAGTCGTGGTCTGTTCTACAACGAGCGAGATGATCCCTTGTCAGCGCATCTCTTTGCAATTGATGGTCCCAAGTGGCATAGCTTAAGGCACCGAATGACGCCCATTTTTAGTGGTGCCAAAATGAAGTTAATGTTTCCATCTGTGCTTAGAACAGCTAGCGAGTTGGTTAATGTACTGCAAGAGCGTTGCGTCGGACAAGCGGCCAACTTGGAGGTTACCAAAATACTGGCCTGCTATACGTCGGACACCATTGGCACTGCCATATTTGGACTGGAGTGCAATAGTCTGCGCGATCCAAAGGCACCCTTTGTCCAGATGGGTCTGAATGCGATGCTAAAGAAACGTTTGGATTACATCTTCTGCCTGCTGTTTCCAAAGCTGAGCCTTAAGCTGCGACTCAAGCGCACGCCCCGCGATGTGGAAGCCTTCTATATGGGCCTAGTTAAGGACACTATCAGCCATCGGGAAAAGTACAATGTCAAGCGCAATGATTTTATCGATATCATGCTGCAAATGAAACATAAATACGATGCAGGCAATTTGGAGGAGGGTCTCTCGCTCAATGAGATCGCCGCCCAGATGTATGTCTTTTTGGTGGCAGGCTTTGAGACGACAGCAACGGCTTTAAGCCTGGCTCTGTACGAGCTGGCACGAAATGAGCACATCCAGAGCCAGCTCAGAGGGGAGATCGAAGAAGTCATCGCCAACTATGGAGTGAATGGGGAGTTGAGCTATGAGGCCTTGCAGAAAATGAAATATCTGGAGCAGGTCATATCGGGTAAGCAGAAATCAAATGCATGCAAAAATAAATTCTTCAACATTTAGTATATATTTCTATCTGCAAAAGATGAACTTTAAGTTTCTCATAATACTGCATTACCAAGCATATTTATGCCATAATTGTAAAGAATTAAGCTTGCAGCATTTTTTGTTGAATATTGATATTTGACTATTATATTTCCTTCTCTCAGAGACGCTACGCATGTATCCCGTTGCCTCGGAGCATTTGAGACGCGCCAACGCCCACTATGAGTTCCCCAATCATCCCAATTATTATATACCAGCGGGGGCGCAGTTGATTATACCCGTCTATTCCATACATCACGATCCGGAATACTATCCGGAGCCGGAGAAGTTCTTGCCCGAACGCTTCACAGAGGAGGCCATCCAGCAGCGTCCAACATGTGCTTTTCTACCCTTTGGAATGGGGCCTCGCATCTGCATAGGAATGCGCTTTGGTAAAATTAAGCTGGCCGTCGGCTTAATATCATTATTGCGTCATTTTCGATTCAGTCTGTCGCCGGATACCCCACAGCCCATGGAATTCACGAAACACTCGTTTCTACTACACACCAAATGTTTCAAGTTACTTGTGGAGCCACTAAAATGAGTTGAAGCTGATTTAATTGTTGAAAACAAAGTTCAACTCAAATTAGGTGATAGAAATTCTACACAACTGTGACACTATAACAAACTAATTTCACTTTAATAAGCATCGCTACGAACCAAAACAAAAAGCACACAAAACTGGCTAATAATATATATATATATATATATATATATATATATATATATATATATGTTTATAAAGATAATCATATGGAATACGCAGTGACGTAATATTCTCGTGTATTTCTGAAAAGCTTTTTTTATGCTCATCTCTAAAGTAGCTAAGGTTCTCAGTATAAATACAATGAACTTTAGCTATGTAAAGTCTCAATTAAACTGTTGTATTTAATAACATTCACAAACCCTTCATTTTATTTATTTTCTTTTTCTAAAGCATTCATTTTATAATCATATACTTTTGTAAGACTTTGACCGGCTTAAAACTGAGTGACAATGGTGATAATGCTGTGGCTATAGAGCATAAGTGCTCCACTCTTAGATATTTATAAACAGAAATTACATTAATTACAGAAAAATAGAAAAACTTGGAATTTGAATTAAATTGAAAGATTGTTAAACACGCTCAACTTTCAGGAAAATACCCGACTCGCTGGCAATCAAGAAGCTCTCCTTGTTATATTTAATAGGAATTGGTGTCTGATCACACACGGAAAACTTAAAGTTCTTGATGAGCATAGACAGGCCGATACGCGCTTGCATCTGGCCGAAACGCATACCAATGCAGTTACGGGGTCCTTCTCCAAACGGAAGCCATTCCACGGAATCACGATTCTTGACTCGTTCTTCGTCGAAGTTATCTGGATTGAAGCGATTCGGTTCGGGATAATACCTCTCATCACGATGCATTGCGCCGGCGGGTATCAAAACTGGCATTCCCTTCTTGATCACATAATTCGGATAACCTGGTACCACATAATCCTCCAAGCATTGACGGTTCAAGATTGGTAACACAGTATACAGACGTAGTGTTTCTACAACAAAATTTATTTAGCTATGCTTTTTAGTAATGTTTTCGTTACATACCTGATATGACTTGATCCAAATACTTCATATCTTTGATACATTCATACGATAGATCTCCATTGTGCCGGGCCAGAACCTCATTACATTCCTTCCGCAAGCGATTCTGTACGTCCTCCGCTCTAGCCAGTTCGTAAAGGGCAAATCCCATTGTGGTAGAAGAAGTCTCGAATCCAGCAGCGAAGAATACAAAAGCTTGGGCAGAAATTTCTTCAATTGTCAAGTTCATACTCTCTCCTGTCTCAGACTTCATCAAGGGCTTGTTTTTCAAGTCAATCAGCTGATCCATGAAATCGTTGCGTCTCACATTATTTTTTTCCCTGTAGTCAACAGTTTCTTTCACAATACGCATAAAAAACTTTTCGATATGCTCGGCAGTCATTTTCATGTGTATGCGTCTCGAAAAATTAGGAAAACTATTGAGCAATGCAATTCCCAGATTACCATGACGTTGATCAGTTAAGGACTTACGTCCCATTATGCGAAACTCTGCTTCCGGATCCTTCAGACTGCTGCACTCAATGCCGAAGGCACAGGAACCTATAACATCAGTTGTAAATCTCGCCAAGAGTTCTTTAACCTCAACAATTGACGACTTTGATACCATGTCGCCGAAAACTTGTATAAACTCATTACAAATATTGACAACCGTGGGAAACATGTACTTCATTTTGCCAGAGGTAAACGTTGAAGAGAGTTTGCCCCTCATCGATCTCCACTTGTGTCCGTCTAATAGAAACAGTTGACCTGACAACGGATCATCTTCGGCGTTGCTGTAGAATCCTCTGTCCGTGAAATTATTGAAATCCTTCATGAGAATGAGCTTTACCAAAAAAGGTTCCAGGATAAATGCAGCTGGACGTTGAAACCAATAGAAACCGGCAAAAGGTCCCGTTCCACGGAATTTATTGTAATATTCCATCCAAACTTCTGAGAATCCGCGTTTCGTACGCAGACCGGTCATGGTGCCCAACATCAGACTGGGTTCCTCACATGGAATACCCAAATTTTGCCAATGCTGCATATTGCGACGTAAGCGCAAGAAAAAATAGCCAATTAAGGCGATTACTACAGTGAGCAACCATATGCCGACGCCCATATTAACTAGCAATAACTACAACCTCTCTTGAGAATAATAACCAACCGACTGAACGCCGGAGAACTGCTTAACGAAGTAAAAGTTGTGGCATGTCATAATGACGATACATTTTACGAAAAGCTTAACTATTCTATCGCATGCAAAAGCTTTGACGATAAAAGCTTCAACAATGGTAAAGTACCGAATTCGTATAAGCAAATCTATTTTTATAAAAAAAACGCCATCGAAATCTGAAATGCGCATATCTTCCGCAATTTGTAAGCTTCAGTCACCAAATCTTAAATGTATGTTGCTTGTAATGGTCACGCCCACTCCGCCTCCCTAAACCGATACAGCTGTTAGTATAAATCGATAAGATCATATATCTCACATATTGATCTTACATCTCAATATTGCTTGTGACACCCATAAAAAATCCGAAAAAAATGTTATGAAAGCCCATATCTTCTGCAATTTAAGAGCTATAGTTTGGAAGGCAGATTACTAAGATCGTTATTAAATTTTTGTTGGCCACCCTTACTCCCACCCCCAAAATTTTCAAAATTTTATGGTTCGACAGGCTGGATTATAATTATATTTGTGATGCGCTACTTACGATACGGTATCTGGTTTTATTTAAAAAAAAAAAAGGTAAAAATTAATAAACGTAAAACTGACTAGCTTAACAGCTGACAAAATGTTTACCATTCCCATGAACTGAGATTATTTTTACATAGGAAACTCCTGGTATATGTAAATAAATGAATGAACCTACCTCAACAGCAGTTTATCATTTAAAAATGTGGAATGTGGAAAACATGGAGTGTCAATGAAATCTGCAAAACAAAGAACACAATTTGAAAGAGTCTTTTATAATTATTATTTATAATAATAACATCTATTAATTTTAATAATTATTATATTGTTTTGCCATTTCAATTGTTAAACACGCTCCACCTTAGGGAAAATACCACACTCACTGCCTATTATTAGCTCTATTTGTGATATTTTATATGAATTTGTGTTTCATACACACCGAAAACTTTAAGTTCTCGATAAGCATTGCCAGACAAATTTCACGTAAACACGATTCATGACTCGATCATCGACTTCTATGAGTGAACGTGTCGTACGCACACCCACCATGCTGCACAAGAAGAAGCCAATTGAGGAAAGTGCCACAGTGAGCAACAATATGCCAACGCCCATAATGATCAGCAACAACAACTATTGCTATGAAACACAATAGGCAAACGAACTTTGGCGATCTGTTATCTACTGGAAGAACCTGCTGGCTAACGAATGGTGAGTCAAAGTTTTTGCAATCATAATGACGATACATTTTACCAAAATCATGTATTTTCTACCGGGACAGTTTTGTAGATTAACGCTTTATCAACATGGTTGCTTAATCAGTTGCATTCAAATGCTTATATGCATTTAAATTGTGAATTTGATTTCTAGATTAGCTGCTTTATTCTTGATGTTATCTTCGATAGACTGGATTATATTATATTTCGTTATTTTTAGTCTAGCCTTATTAAAGCGAAAAATAAAATAAATTTTAACTGAAAGTTGACAAAATGTGTATAATTTCAATAAATTGAGTTTAGTTTAACCTTGAGAACTAAGGGTTCTGTAAATTAATTAATGAACCTACCTCAACAGCACTTCATCAATTATAAAACTTTTCTATCTGCAGGTAATATTAAAATCTTTTAGGGTCAATTAAATCTGCAAATCAAAGAACAGCATTTTAATGCGTCTTTTCTAATTGTAATGTATAATAATTATAATTATTAATTATCATTTTTATTATTTGGTTATGCAATTCCAATTGTTAAACACGCTCAGCTTTCAGGAAAATACCCGACTCGCTGGCAATCAAGAAGCTCTCCTTGTTATATTTAATAGGAATTGGTGTCTGATCACACACGGAAAACTTAAAGTTCTTGATGAGCATAGACAGGCCGATACGTGCTTGCATCTGGCCGAAACGAATACCAATGCAGTTACGGGGTCCTTCTCCAAACGGAAGCCATTCCACGGAATCACGATTCTTGACTCGTTCTTCGTCAAAGTTATCTGGATTGAAGCGATTCGGTTCGGGATAATACCTCTCATCACGATGCATTGCGCCGGCGGGTATCATAACTGGCATTCCCTTCTTGATCACATAATTCGGATAACCTGGTACCACATAATCCTCCAAGCATTGACGGTTCAAGATTGGTAACACAGTATACAGACGTAGTGTTTCTACAACAAAATTTATTTAGCTATGCTTTTTAGTAATGTTTTCGTTACATACCTGATATGACCTGATCCAAATACTTCATATCTTTGATAGATTCATACGTTAGATCTCCATTGTGCCTCGCCAGAACCTCATTACATTCCTTCCGCAAGCGATTCTGTACGTCCTCCGCTCTAGCCAGTTCGTAAAGGGCAAATCCCATTGTGGTAGAAGAAGTCTCGAATCCAGCAGCGAAGAATACCAAAGCTTGGGCAGAAATTTCTTCAATTGTCAAGTTCATACTCTCTCCTGTCTCAGACTTCATCAAGGGCTTGTTTTTCAAGTCAATCAGCTGATCCATGAAATCGTTGCGTCTCACATTATTTTTTTCCCTGTAGTCAACAGTTTCTTTCACAATACGCATAAAAAACTTTTCGATATGCTCGGGAGTCAATTTCATGTGTATGCGTCTCGAAAAATTAGGAAAACCATTGAGCAATGCATTTCCCAGATTACCATGACGTTGATCAGTTAAGGACTTACGTCCCATTATGCGAAACTCTGCTTCCGGATCCTTCAGACTGCTGCACTCAATGCCGAAGGCACAGGAACCTATAACATCAGTTGTAAATCTCGCCAAGAGTTCTGTAACCTCGACAATTGACGACTTTGATACCATGTCGCCGAAAACTTGTATAAACTCATTACAAATGTTGACAACCGTGGGAAACATGTACTTCATTTTGCCAGAGGTAAACGTTGAAGTGAGTTTGCCCCTCATCGATTTCCACTTATGTCCATCTAATAGAAACAGTTGACCTGACAACGGATCATCTTCGGGGTTGTTGAAGAGTCCTCTGTCCGTGAACTTATTGAAATCTTTGATAAGAATATGCTTTACCAAAAAAGGTTCCAGGATAAATGCAGCTGGACGTTGAAACCAATAGAAACCGGCAAAAGGTCCCGTTCCACGGAATTTATTGTAGTATTCCATCCAAATTTCTGAGAATCCGCGTTTCGCACGCAGACCGGTCATGGTGCCCAACATCAGACTGGGTTCCTCACATGGAATACCCAAATTTTGCCAATGCTGCATATTGCGACGTAGACGCAAGAAGAGATAGCCAAGGACGGCTAGCACAGCAGTAAATAGTAATGTGGCGATACCCATTATATAGCGAACAATTTCTATATTTCACAAAACAAGGGACCACGAAGCAACTCGAGCTGCGGCAGAGCACTGAAAGAACTGCGAGATTTCTTGCCATTTATACGGTCAACTTTCGCATCCATAATGACTAGAATTCCTATGATGCTTTGGGAGCTTTGAGAGTACAATCTTTGTTGATAATCAGCTGAAACTATAGACGATGATAACCTGTATTCATTAATGGGTATTTTGGCAATAAACTTATCGCTTGGCTGGCTTTGGGAGCTTTTAGGGCAAAGTTTATAACCCCATAAAGACGAAGATCGTAAGTTGTCTAGCGCCACCTGTTGGGCATGCTTCATGCATTTGTTAGCCTTAAAAAGAAGAAGACCTTTTCAAGATAGCGGCTTTCAATGCTATTAGGGTCTTCTAAATGCACGTGTAATTTTCCATAACCATCGTGCCAATTATGTAATATTAATATTAAATTTTCTAAAGGTGCACTTGAATAGTAATATCGAAATTGAGAACAACATCTTTATAAGGAAAATAGTTGTTTTGTTTGAGTCCTTTCGGTTCATTCATCTTTGAAAACATGAAGCTGCGCTAGGCCAAAGCTTAAAGGAATATTACCATTGGATAAATAGGTAGAAGATATTTGAGTTATGCGAGTAGCTTCTACAAGTCTCTACATTAATTTATTTATTTACCAAATGAATAGAATTGCTAAAAGTTCAAGTAAATAGCCATTCAGTATGAATTTGCCAAAAGTCGTATATAAACAGGAGAGCTTCAAACCACTCGGATTGAAACTTGTCAAAACACTGACAACATTTAAAAGTTATCATATCAAAGTTAAAGCTTTCTGAATATCAGTGATTAAAATGCGTCCTCGATAGATACATATAATACTTATAGCGATCCGGCAACTCTGCTGGTTTGTTTGACAATTGATTAGATTTGAAGTGCGGATATTGGTAGCAACAATAACAACAACAGTATCAACAATACAAGCACTTAGTACAACAACAATTTAACAGCTTGCCATATTGTTTATTTTTATACCCAATATTTAAGTGAGTTTTTTTAATGCGCTAATTGAACGTCAAATTCAGCAGGTTTCGAGAACAAGTACATTGAGAGCAAAAGCTGCGAATATTGTATAAACTATATTCGAATAAACGGGCTCAGCCAATTGAGACTGATTGGAATTTAGAAATAGTTTGACATACTAGAAACATGTTCAGTTACGAAAAATCTGATGTTCGCTGTTGAACCGTAATAAATACTAATCACAGCCTAATCGAGTTGATGACTAAAGTCATTATAAAATGTACACGTTCTGGGTCGATAGGCGACTGTTTGATATTTATTTGCGTTTACTTATAGAACACATCATTTTTTTGTACAGTGCACTCAGTTTATGTTTTTTATGGGGCCAGTTTTATTTAAGCCAACCCCACCTCGATGAGTATAGGAATTTCAATGGCAACAACAGCTCTTTTATCTATAAACAGAAAACAAAATACACAAAATAAAAGCAGTAAAAGTGATAACAAACGAAAACGAACTTTAAATTGTACAGACTATAGAGAATTTACAATGCTCAGTCATATAGACTTCACAAATGCCCTATTTAAAGTTTTTTTCAGCTTCAGCTCTCTTCGTTGGATTATTATTATCATTTTTATTTTTTTTTTTATATTAAGAATCACTGATTCAACCTACACATCAAATTAAATCACATTGAGTTAAGCATACACAAGAAAATAAATAAATGAGAAATTCGTACTTCAAATAAATGAATAAATTACTGTTTGAATAACTATTTATTTGCTCGGTTGAAGGTCTTTTTGTACATATTCAAAGAACATTATACTTTTTTCCATTAAAAAATAGATACATAATAAATTCGAACTAAAATTTAAAAAGTTACTAACTACATAATAAACGATGTATATGCTAGATTGAAGATATTTGCACATATTTAAAGAACTTTATGCTGCTTTCTAGAACCCAATTGAGTGTAAAAAAAAACTTGTTTTAATCCAGTAAATTGTTTTTGTCTGTGTATGTGACTGTATTTGTTGGCCTCAGTCGAACGCCCACGGAGCATGTTTAAGCCAAGTCAACAGCCATAAGCAGCAATAACTGTAGTGTACCGCACTCGGTATTGACAACCCACCTCCCGCATCCCCTCACCCAACCTCAAAATGAAAAGCTCCCAAATGGCTGGAGGAGCGTATCGTAAAAATGTTTCTACTCAATTGCACTCAGTCGAACAGAGCGGTTTGGTAATGAACGTAACAGATTCAACTTGTCGCTGAGAACGCGTTCGCGACTCCGCGTATTAGATCATTGACGATTTCCGGGCAACAAAGAATCATTGGCCAAAAGCGGTGATTTGTAAATATAAATTTTGTGTTTTTATACGTATATATATATATATAGATACATAAATATATATGTGTGTGGTTCTAATTGCCAAACGATTCGAAACAAATCAGCATGAAAAATTTGTGGATATTATTTATGATATTAGGGCTAATCGTGCTCTGCCTTTTAGTACTGCTGATTATAGCAGCGCGTTATCAGCGTGATTACTGGCGCTATTTGGATATACCCCATGAGAGGCCCAAGAAATTATGGCCAATCATGAAGCAACTGATCACTCAGTCCCTCAGCACAGAGGCCATGAAGACGGCTCACTACACGGCCCTCTATAATAAGTTCAAGGGCAGCGGACCCTTCTGCGGCTTCTATGCGTTGCTGCAACCACGTGTTCTCGTCCTCGATCGTGAGCTGATACGCCAGATAATGATCAAGGATTTCTCGAGTTTCAATGATCGTGGTATGTACTGCAATCAGAAATCGGATCCCTTATCGGCTGATCTCTATGGATTGCGCGGCAATCATTGGAAGGAGATGCGTCAGAAACTGGACCCAACTTTCGAAAGCGATCGCATGTCCTGGCTATATGGCAGTCTGTACGACGAGGCAGCGCAGTTGCTGCTGACTGTCAGTTCCACGCTAATGAGTCAACCACACTCCACGCTCCACATACAGAAGCTAATGCGACGATATGTTATATCCGCCCTGGCCAGTTGTGTGTTTGGTGTGAATGCCGAACAGCGACAGAAATACTCCATGGATGAGTTTGAGCGGATGACAGAGTTGGTGTTGAGCACAAAGAAGCATGGCTATCTAATGAATCTGATGATGATACGCTTTCCCAACTTCTGTCGCAAGTTGCGAATGCGTTTGACACCCAAAGAGGCTGAAGTATACTTTCTAACGCTGCTCGGAGACATTGTGCAGCAGCGGGAAGCATCTCAGGTGCGACATCAGGACTATTTGCAGCTGCTGTTGGATATCAAGGCACTCGAGTTGACCACCCACGAGTACGAGGCGGACAAGGAGCTGAAGGAGCATCTGCAGAAAGAGCTGGCTGTTCATGCATTTGTCTTCCTCAAGGCGGGCTACGAGCAAACGGCAAACACTTTGTCATTTGTCCTTTACGAACTTGCCCTAAACCCTGAGGTGCAATCTCAGGTGAGGCAGGAACTGAAACAGGCCATGGAAAAGCATGACAATATTCTGAGCTACGAGTGTGTGCAATCCTTAACTCTAATGGGTTATGTCATCCTGGAAACGCTTCGAATGCATCCTATAACACCGTATATATTGCGTCGCGTCCTTAGCAGTTGTTCGGTGCCGGATCATCTCAAATATAATCTGGTCAAGGAGCTATTTGTGATCATACCAACGCATGCCATACACAATGATCCCGAGTATTATCCCGAACCAAATCGGTTTAATCCCGACCGTTGGGGAAGCCCCAGGGATTCCTTCAAGGAGCAAAGCATTTGGTTTGGTTTTGGTTCCGGTGTCCGTAATTGCATTGGTATGCAATTTGCTCAATTACTATTACGTCTAGCTTTGGCACTGCTTTTACTCGAATTTGAGTTTACCTTAAACTCAAAGAGGCCTCTGGTCACTCTAGAGGACGGCATAGCACTCCAGCTGACGCCTCTGGGAGTGGTCGAGCCAGGTCTGGAGGAGCGTGCAGTCTGAGCTTGTTCAAATATGGTTGTTTTACTTAAAGTTATTAATGAATTTAGAGTGCTTATGAAGCAGGAGCTACAAAAGAAATATTTGCATATACAAAACCCTTACAACAATTTCAAATTCAAGAAATCAGAAAAAAAAAAGCTCAGACATGATTTAAAAATCATAAAAATTAAATAAAATACCTAAAGTAGAGTGTAATAAATTAAAATAAACTAAAGAAAACCTTTAAAACAAATCAATCTGAGTGATTTAATAAATAATATTCTGACAAAGAAAAAAACATTTTTATAAGAAAATTAAGCTTAACACAAACGCTTTAACATAAATTGTATTTATTTAAAATCCGCTAAAATAGTAAATATTATAGTTAATACATAGTTATATATATATATATAAAATTAATTACAATATGCCATTAAAGAACTTGGGATACACCCACATATTTTATTGGATTCGCACTACTCTTGGGTATTGAAAGAATCCCACAAATATATTTGATTTTTACTAAAAAGTGCTTGCTTAAATGAGTGTATTTATCAAACATTTGTTTTATTTTTTTATTATTAAGTAAGTAGCTCTGCAAAAATAATTTAATTACACACTAATTAATTGTGTTTCGTTTGTTGTTATTTACTGTTAATTTGTATATTGTTCTTGCATTGTCATTTGCTGATATGGTTGCTATATGGCTGCTACGTATCGTGTAGCCCAGTTAAGTGCAGTATTTCTTTTGTGTATATTTAAATATGTTAAAAGTAGTAATTTAATATAAATTTTGACATTTTTCGTTTGATTTTAGTAGCATAGTTCATAAAAATAAGCATAAAATTAAAAACTATGCACAAGTTATGTTAAATTGTGAGCTTTTTAGATATTTAAATTAATTGTAGAATAAATAATAAACAAAACAAAAAAAAAACAGTAAATATTTAAAACTGCTTTGCGCCTTTTCAAGTTGTGTGTTAACGATCAGTAAAATTATTAACAATTATTTATAGCTCGACTGATATGGAATGCTTTAGCTGTTTTCTCTAGGGCAGCGCTACGAAATGCTAATTTAAATCTTAAGTTTAATGTTTGTTCGACATTTTGGCCGCTAATACAAAAATTGGCTGCACGGCAGCTTCGAAGTTTTACTTTTTAATCTTTCACCTTATTTATTTTGGTGGCTTGGGTCGCGAGGGCAAGGGTAGAGATTTGCGTACGGGATCACCACGATTGGGCAGCTTGCTGCGCAGCATTTGTTCGTGCACATAGAGGAGCAGACCCACATCACGATGTCCTGCCTGCCAAGCGATTTTAAACGCAGTGCTGCCATCCTGCATGAAAAGCATATTATAGGTTTAAGTGCTGCAATAGTTGTGGATTGCTAAGCGAAACTTACCACATCCTGCACTAGGGAATCGCAATCCTGTTGCGACAACAAGTGCTTCACAATATCCACACGTCCGTGTTCTGCGGCACACATCAGCGCCGTGCTGCCATCCTCATCCTGAATATTAATATCGGCGCCGGCGTCGAGTAGCATGGCAACCATGTCGCCGTTACCATGCGACACAGCGAGCATCAATGCGGTCTGGCAGTGCTGTAAGTATCAGGTGCAAAAGGATCAAGGAACAGGTGAGTTAGTAGGGAAACAACAGTTTACAGTGAGTAAATCAGCATGATGGACGGACACTGGGTTGGGTGTGCCTTTACCTACCTTCTTGGCCCGTATGTTGACATCGGCCATCTGGAACAGTCGCTCCACGACCGTCCGATGTGCCACTTGCTTCAGCTTGGCCAACGATACGAGCATCACGCATGTGTATCCAGCGTTATTCATTTGGTTTACATTGCAAACCTTCGAATCCAGCAATATGGATACAACATCAAAGTTGCCATGCGAGACCGCATAATGCATTGCCGAATTGCCCTGCAGACAAATATTAAATAGAGTATAACAAATAAAGTAGGAAATGGCTACGCACATTGCTATCGGAGAGATTGACACAGTACTCCAGCAGTGGCACCGACAACGATTCAAAATAGTCCAAATAATCCTCAACCTCGTGCGGATTTGAGGTCGCCGTGCTGGAGATGCGGAACCAGTGCTCTCCAATGCTTGTCTTTGATGATTTCAGGCTGAACGATGAGAAGGGCTTGGAACCCAGCTTCTTGAGCAGCGAATCATTGATGACTTTCAGGGCATCCTTCATCTCCTTAGCCAGCTCCGTTCTGTACAGGCACAAACAGAGTAAGTATCTAGTTTCTAATTGAGAAATGCTAAATACTTACTTTTGTCTGGGCTCCGAGGGTGCCTGAGCCAGCTGATGCAGCTGTGCCTTGGTTGGCGGTCGATCTTCCTTCGGAGCTTCCTTCGGAGCCACATCTGTCGTCCGCTCAATGACGGTCACCTGTGACTCCTCGCTCTGACTAGACTTAAGTGGTGTGCAAGACTTTTTGCGTGCACCTTGCGCGATTTCCCGCTCCACATTGGAATCAGTCGAAGCGGTTAGAGCCTGTTCCGGCGAGGCGGACTTGCTGCTGGAGGAGGAGGTCATCAGTGGTGCGGGAGAAGCATCTCGTGACCAGCTGATGCTGACGCGTTTCTCCTCGCGCACAACCAGCTCATCATCACCAAGTTGGGTAAAATCCAAATCCTGGGACGTAGCTAATTGCTTGGACGGCTGTTTGATGAAACTCTGCATTTCTGGTGCACAGTCAAGCGATACACTGGGCGGCTTCTCCTGCAGCGAGCTGTGGAAACACAAGTTAAACACGTCGTCAAGTTTCAGTTACTCAATTTTGTGGATATGGGACTATTGCTATTATAGAACCCACGTTAGCAGGAGCGCTGAACAGCCGCTGACCACCAGTGGGTAGCAGGTGAAGCTGCTCAGGCCGGAAAACATCGAGAACACCATCGAGAACACAAAACGAAAAGCCAAACAATAAACAAAAAGTCGATAAACGAGGAGAAACGAAGCAAAGTAGCTGCAAACGTGCCAAAGCCAAAATGAAAACTGAGCCTGAAGGTCAATGCGACCAGGTCGCAATACACTTCAATTCGGAATCCGTATTCAGAGTCGTCTGCTGAGCAAACGACAATGCGCATGACGCGTCTTCGCTGGGTGTGTGTCTTAGCTAACCCATTGAGCTTAAAGCTCTCGCAAGTTACAGAGGAGCGCGGGTGATTCAAAATTCAATGGTAATTACAACTATTTTGTAAAATTTAAAATAATAATAGATAACTTATGAAAATAACTATAGAGGTTTCTCAGCAAATCAACAACGATTTCCTTTTTCTTGGGGCTATATTTGACAAAATCTCCTGGCAATATTACGGAGAAATTAGAATGCAACCGAAAGAGATTGTTGAAGTGGGTCGGTAGAAATTGCGAATCGGATTTCAAATTATTTAAAGCTTGAAAACTCACCTCAGACATAGTTTTCGTTGCGCCTTTGGGCTCCGTGGAGGCGCCGATGGCGTTGCCTGGGCGGTTGTTGGCAGCGTATAAGTGTTTTGACGTTGGAACTGCTTGCGCACTGGACTGGGACTAGTGAGATGCTTAGGACGCGGTATACGCGAATCCGCCGAGGTGGAACGCCGAATGGGATGTGGAGCTGTTGGTGGCTCGTTGGTTGGGTCTGCCTTGGAGAAGTCCTTGGCCAGCAGCTGGATGGCCTCCTTGCAGGAATCACAGTAGTTGGCCGCACAGGCAATCGAGATGTGCGGCTTGACAATGTCGCCACAGCCAACGTCCCGCTTGTGTACCTGCTCCGTGTTGCACGAGGAGTGGGCAACGATGCGCTCGGGCTTCGCAACGACAGGCAATGGCTGCTCCTCCGTATTGCTGGCCACATGACATGTCTGCGGTGGATTCAGCGGTGCCATTAGCTGCTCGGTTTTGGTCACGCTGCGCGTGAGACGCTGCAATCCCTTAGTGTCCGTTTGTCGATTCGTGGACTCCACGCCGCATTGGGTGCCCACCTGTTGCTGCTCGGGCATCGCCTGAGCACCCGTGGAGCGTACAGTGGTCGCCGCTGTTTGACTCGACGCACTGTGCACCACGGTGTTTAGAGTCTGGCAGCCAATCGCCTTGCGTTTGATAGCCAACTGTTCGTGCTCGCCGAGACTGAAGGTGTTGCTGCGACCTGGCAACTGTGGCACGGGCTTCGGCTTCTCCGGCAGCTTCTCGTCGGTGCCACAACCGACGCTGACGCTACGCTTGCTAATGGCACACTTTTCGCAGAGCACATCCGTCACTCGATTCTCGGAGCTGCCCACGCTGCGCATATCTGGCTTGCAGTTGGTAAAGTTCTCCCTGGTCATCGGTTTGGCACTGATGCTCACATTATGCTTGAGCACTGGACGCTCTGGTACGGTTTGGTTGCCCATCTCCCGCTGCTCCCTCTTTGGCACATACATCTGGGTGCCCACTGAGATGAGATGTCGGAGTCGCTGCTGCTTGCTCTCGCTGAGCGCCTGTTCAATCTTCTGCTTCAGTTCCAGCTGCGAGTACAGCGTCTCCGTCTGCTGGGTGCCCACGTGGCGAACGCTCAACGGCGAGCCCACTGCAATGTCACGTGTGGCAATCACCTTGCTGGCAGCCTGTGTGGCAACATCGCGTCGTATGATGCTCGGCGATATCGAACTGCTGCGCATCCGTGCGCCCAAACTTTCCAGCGAAACGGGACTGATGCGCTGCGGCGTAAACTGCACGGGTGAAGCATTCTTAAGGCCCGGACTGGGTGGCGATGGTGTTTGGCGTTGTCCGCGGAGCAGCTCCTCGTTGCGACGCTGTAGACGCTGTTTCTCAGAGCGCAGTGAATTCAGCTCCATCTAAAAGTTGTTGGGAATTAGTAAATGCCAGATAGATATATATCTTTGTATATTAGAGATACTTGACTAACGATTTATATATATAATTTAGTATCGCTACATTCTTTACTGTAACGCATGATAAAACTCTCAATTACCAAATTCTGAACGAAAATCGGCCAACGAAATTCTTATTTCAATCAACAAATACTTTGCCTAAGCGAAAATACTTGATGAATTATAAATTTGTCATGCTTTCCTAACTTTGCTGAATCCAAACTTGAATTGCGACTGACATTCGATTTACTCACCTCCATATCAGGTATGACCTTGACCTGCTCCTCTAGGTCCTTGAGACGTTTCAAGCTCAACGCCATTTGTTCACGTATCTGGCAGAGCGCTTGTGCATCCGCAGTAGTCTGACCCGTCTCGGAGCTGGCCGGCGACTGGAGGGGGCTGTCAGAGGAACTGCCATTTGTTGTCGTCTGCTCCGCTTTGGGTGTGGCTGTCAAATGATGGCGACGCGGTGGCGGTGGTGGTGGCGACGCTTTGTCTGCGACACTCTCTGGCTGCTCCACCGGCGACTTGGCATTGGCAGCCACCGTGGCGAGGACATAACTCTCATACTGGACCTCAGCAGGACTGGGACGCTGCTGCAGTGGCAGCGTATTCGAGCGCTGAAAGAGACGAGGTGAGCGATTCCCAGCCATGCAGGAGTCTACATAAAAAGTAAAAGAAAATAAAAGATAAAGTAAGCTTTAGATAATGCCTGACTATAAGTATTTTATCTGGTTACTTGCTCTGTGTGTAGCTTTACTCAAAACTATTTTAATTTGCAGACTTGCCATAGACGCTTCCAATTGACTACTGACAGCGACATTTTGGCACAGCAAAATGCGTATTATTAATATTAGTGATAAAATAAATGATAGCAGTTAGAAACTGTGCCACGGTGCGCATAATTTGCCCACCAAACAAAAACTGCCGCTTCAACTATGAATAGTAGCGGCAGCAGCAGCAGCAGCAGCAGCAGCAGCAAAAATAAAAATACTAAAAATGTACAATAGACAAAAGCCAAAAGCTAAAAGAGACTTCGAGTCTGTCCTTTATGTGTGTCTGTGTCAGCAGTCTGCTGATAAGTCGGGGCGCCGACTGCTGAGCTATTATTATTCAATATTGATTTTACCTACATACAAACACTACATATTGCACTCATTTGTTTATATAAAAGAGACGATGTTTTGCTGCCACTACTCGGGCATTGCCCGCTCGACTTGTGTATGTTTTGCAATACGCATCGATCGTATCAAACGCTTATCGATGGAGGGCCACCAATGAATAAACAAAGTGACCCTGAGTAGTGGAAAGTGCAGCATATGTTTGTCAAATTCAAGTGAATGGCAACTACGCGAAAATATCAAATAATCACACACAACTTAAACAAAGAATCTTTTCAATTCAATTGAAGATAGATGAAGACAGATACGTTATCTAAAAAGGAAAAAGCTCTTCTTCGGTACACTTTCGGCGCGTGTACGCATACTTTGCACACACACTGTCTGTCGACAGTTGTTACTCATCGCTTTGCCGGCAGCCAAGTATTTTTGTATTTTTTCTCAGTTTTTGGTCGCTGCTCTATTTGCTACTATTACTTAATTTCTATACACATACACATATATGTGTAGAGATGTAGACTTTTGTGCACTGATCTTTCGGTAAAGAAATGCAAAACAAAAGTCGCAGAAGAAAATAACAAAAATAAAGCAGAAAGATTTCTATTTTTTGTGTCGGTGCCAAGTTGACTGCGCTGTCGAAAGAAAAAGATGGTCAAGGCAAGAAGATGGGGTTGGCCAGAAAGACAGCAAGTCGCGTGTTCAGATAGCATTGACCGGGGCCATAATTAATCAGTTTTTATGAGCTAGAAAATTAGCTATAATGAAAATGAAAAACACGCGTCTAAGCCAGCAGAAAACACCTTTATTAGCTAACTAGCTGTCTGCCTGGCTAATGAACCTACTCTCATGCCACCAGCTTTTCAGAGCACTCTGCCTTGTCTCCGGCTCCACTTTAATCTTTCTCTTTGTCTTCTTGTGGCGTCGCAGCGGCAAAGTATCTGCGGCAGTGGCAAACATTGTTGTTGCTGTCGTTGTTGTTGTTGTTGCCACTTGTTATTGATTTTCAGTTGTTTTAATAGCACATTTAATTGAACGTTGCAGCAAAATAATTAGGATTAGCGGTCAAGGCGGCAGCCATTGCACTTTGGTAATGCTAAAAAATAAGTATTTTATTTACGACTTGTTTGTATTTTGTTTTTTGTTTGGTGTTAATTAAAGCAATTGCTGTGTGAGTAATAAGTAATATTAATTTGATTTGATTTGATTTGCTCAGCTGGAAGGCACATGTACAAATCGAAGCGAACAGCGTCAAACGTTATCTTTCACAGTGATGCACAAAATTACATGCACACCGTAACTCACTCTGCATGAATTCATTTTTGATTCTCTTTAATATCGTGAATATTGGCATTGAGAATAATAATATATATTTTTAGCTTTCCACTGTTGTATACATATACAAGTAGATATATATTGATTTATTTTTATTACCACCAATTTTTTTTCTATTTTTCGCTTTGATTTTAGTCATTTACGTAAACATTAATAAATTTCTTGATTGATTTATGTTTTAATCATATTTCGAGTTTTTATATATATATATATTTAAATGTTCGATGATTAATAATATTTGTTTGGTTTTTTTTTTAGTTTTTTGAGGACATGCTTTTTTTTTTCTTTTGATGTGGTTTTTGTTTTTTATTGGTCGTGGTTATTTCGTCGATTTTGTCGTAACTTTCGCACGGTCTTTCGAATTTTATAATATGCTAACAAACTTCTCGATGGCTACAATTATTTCGTATATTCTAATTAAATTTGATATCGCGTTGCAGTCGTTTCATTAATTTATTCGTTTAGATCATTTCGCTGATTTAATTGCTTTTTATTTCTTTGCTAGACACATTTTATGTTTTTCGTTCGAAAGTCGTCGACAAACTGCGCTGAAATTTTCGAGCTGCTGCCAGCAACGAAAAAAAAAACATCATTTAGCAGCAGCTATTTGCTATTTTGTTATTATTTAACAGCTCTTGTGCTAAGGCAGCACACAAAAAATATTGCTATGTATTACTAACAAAAAATAAAAAAGAAATATATTGAGAACTCGAGAGCAGAGAGAATAGCAAAAATATAGTGATAAGGTCGTCGCTCTCTCAGCAAATACCAATTAAACAATCTAAACAACAACAGCAACAACAACAATAACGTTAACAAAAACTAAACAACAGTCTGCAGATAAGCTAAATGCACATTATTAAATGATTAGCTGATGTTATCATCATTATGATGACGCGAACCACAGCATTTTGTAATATATTTAGATACATCACGAACCGAGCTGACTGCGACCCGACAAGAGCGGGATCTTCACGTTTCAAGGTGGGTCTACTATTTAGTTTGCCCAATCAATTTACAAGCAAATATTAACAAGTTGTGGTTAACTATTTGTATTTTGACGAAATGACGAAACACGTTCGTATTTGAATTTTTCTTAGAGATGCAATCAATCGATCAATATCTATAAATCTAATATCTAATTTATTATTGGTCAGAAATGTGTCTAAATATTTGACACACATAATTTCGTAGCCGGCTCCATAATACTCTGATGCTAGTGGAGCGCTTTTAAATATCTTTTTTTACTGGTTTAGTGTTAAATGATTTTTATCTTTAACATTTCTATTATATACTAAAATTTACTATTTATGGTATATACTACTAGGCACAGATTTAAATATTCCACATTACTCTGTCAAAATGTGTAGGATCTTTAAAGGCAAACCCCTTTTGGTAATTTTTTCTCCACTCCCAGATATTTTCCAAAATAAATCGACTCTCAATTTATAAATTATATCAACCAAGTTGTTGAATAATTATTTTAGACCTTTAAATACGCAGCCTGATAAGCATATTAATAATTTTCGGCTCTTAGCCTTGAGGTTAATTTGTATCTACCGATAAAAGCTTTCCATTGAATCGCATATGGCTAAAAGGGGCGCATGTCTAGACCAGCTTTTAGGCCCCAAGGTTACAAGAAATTAACGCTGAACGCATTTTGGCATTTGTCTAACAATAGACAGATTTCTGGGCTCGTTGCTTTGGGTCTGCCTCAATTGGCAAGATTTTTGGCAAAGGTTTTGTTTTTTTTTTTGGGTGAAACGCATTAGAGTAAAGGCAATTTAGAAACCATTTATAACGACCCTAAATAGCATAAACAAGAGTATATATGGGGCCCACATATCGTAAATACATGTGTACAACAGTAATCATTAATCAATGTCAGTTTTTGACTCCTTGCCCAGATAAAATGTCCGCGGGCAAAAAGCGACAATTTGATTGTTTATTTGCGTGAGTTTCTTGCATTGGTTTTTGCACACTTTATGGCAAATTTATGGCATAAACAAATACAAGAAAAACGAGCCAACAGTAAACAAAAAAACAACAACAACAACAACAACTTAGCAGTATTTGCATGCAAATTGAGCGCCAAATGCGCATTTCAAAATTGATTCAAGATACGAACGCCTCGAATCGCCTTGAAGTGGCTTGTAAACTCCAATTGAGTTTGAAATGCCAAAGATGCAAAGTGATTGTATCTATGTATGTATCGGCATAAAGTATCTGTATCTGCAGACAACTCTGCGCATTTTATGCAGCTTAATGTCTTTTGATTGGCCCCAGACATTTATTTCGGGCAGGAGGCTTGCTGCATAAAATTGAATTATGCGTTGCTAGATTGCGACGCCGTTTTTTTTTTTTTTTGTTGTTGTTTGTTTGTTTTTGGAGCTACATTTAAATATTACTTTGATCTAACAGCTTGCGTGTTGGGCTATGACAGCTTCATGAGTAGTGTGGCCTTACAATATATGCTGGTACAATGGGCTGGAAAGGCAAAGAAACTGGAGTACAATTAGGAAAAATAATCATTTTAGCACATCATTAACAAATTTGTAATTTTGACTTAATATTTTGTAACATTTGATCAGCATTTTTCGAAAAGACCAATTACTGCAAAATATTTATGGTATATTTTACATAAGAGACACGAAATAAGAAAGGCATTTACCAATTCATGGACACCTTCTATTGTGCACAAATATTCCGAACACGTTCCATTGTACAGCATTTCAACAGCCTGCAACAGTTGTTCAAAATTTTTCACACTTTCGTGCGTAAAAGTGTCACATGTGCGGCGTCATCGCTAATTGCTAAGAAAAGCAACAGCAAAAGAAAAAAGCAAAAGTATCTACGAGATACAACCAAAGTCATTCGTCTGCCGCCTATGAATCATAAAGAGCAGAGCTGGGCAGAGCAGAGCTGGGCAGAGCAGAGCTGAACAGAGCAGAGCAGAGCAGCAACCAAGAGTATTTCCTCATCTATTTTGAGCGTTGCACGAATTTCACTCACCTGCAACATCAAAGTAACGATCCCACGTGCTATGCCCCATGCGACGCTCCTTCGCCTCCTTGGTCTCCTTGGAGCCATAGCCGTTGCTCAGACTTAAGCTCAGACTGAGACTGTTGTTGTTGCGATCCATGGACAAGGAGTTGCCATTCGTATAGCTGTAAGCACCCCCTTTACGCCTCCTGGCCGAGGCACGTTCCAGCGTTCGCTCAAAATCGCTGCAGACTTCGTCGAGTGCCTCGTGTAGGAAGGCACGTGTCTCCGGAGGACTGTTGGCCGGACGTGCATGACCATATGTCGGATATTTGTAAGACGGATAGATGCCAGCATCGCTTTCGACGCCGCCACGCAGTGAGGAGCATGTGGATGAGGCAGTGCCATAGGGTGACTCAGAACGCGGCGGCGGTGCAAGGCTGCTGCTGTAAGTGAAGCGTGGCACCGACGACGAGCGTGGCCGATAGCACGGCGATAGTCCGACAGTGGCAGCGTGTAGCCGTGGCGAATCCGGTTCACTTTCATGTGCGGCCTAGTGGTGAAAATGTGAACAGGTGACAAGTTAATCGAGTGCGAAGTGCAAAATCACTTTGAAGTTGTTGACAAAAGTCCAAGGCAAATTCAGCTCAAATAAACAAATAGAGTTTTTGAAAATCAAATCAGTGTGTTAACTTAAGTTAAGATTTAGATCGGGAGTGTTTTGTGCACTCACCTCCGTTAGCTTTGGTTGCACACGACTCTCCGCCTGCCAATCGCCGCCAAAGAGACTCTCAAAGCCGAGCATGAATTCCATGGATTTGCGAGATCTGCGACGATCGCGACGCTGCAGCTCCTCCTCGCTGGGCTTGGCATTGGCCAGACTCTCGCAGTAGCGAACAAAATCCAGATCGATGTGGTAGCCATAAGGACAACAGTTGCAGCTGCGCACAGACCGAGTCAATGTTGAGCTTGGGGTGCCATTGTTATTGCCCGGCGTTTGATGCGCTGTGCAAGAGTAAACCAAACAAAAAACGAGAGTAAGATAAATGACCGGATGAGCACAGCAGCCACAACAAAAAATAGTCTGTATCTTAAATGCAGACAACGCGTATCTAAATGTCATTATCAAGGTCACGTCTGTCTGGGTTTTGAGTCTGCCTTTGATTCTTGGTATTGGCAACACACACAGCATATTTGTCTGCCTTAGTTTTAGGTGTGCGTGTGTGTGTGTGTGTGTGAGGCATTTAAGCTTTGTCTCACAGCCACACCTGCCTGCCCGTTTGGCCTAAAACACGTTTCAGCTTTTGTTTTTTATTTGTGTTTATTTTTCGTAATCTGAGTCGCAGTCGCAGCTCCCAAGCGCAGTTCTCAGAATGTATCCGCAAGATACATTTATGTGATTTGTGCTGGCCATATTTATGCTTAATTGCGTCATATCATAACTAAATTTGCTTAATTTAGATAACAAACTATGCACGCGACTCATTTGAAGTTTCGCCTCAACAGCAATTTATAGTCTTGAGTTCATTTGCTTTAATTAGCTTCGCTCAAAGCAATTTCCTTAATTGTATCTTTGCAAATATCTATGATTTTATCAATTAAATTTTTTTAATAATACAAAAAGTACTATATTAACAAAGTAGCAAAATGCAGCCATCTATGAATAAAACCTTATAATATTTATCTAACTAACATTTAACCATACGTAAGCAATAATTAAAATTTTAATTTTTAAGATCTATTCATCTTTTCACTCCCTCACTCACTTGTGTGGCAGATCCTTGGAGGCAAGCGCGTTGGCTTTCTAGCCTCATATACCAACCACAGCACCCCCAGCCATAATAAATTCCAAATCATTTTCTATTGAGCCAAGGGCGACTCGATAATGAAGAAATACGCTAGTATTTCTCAAAAACTACCGACAACTTCCCGACCATTTGGGGCGCACGTTCTCAGTCCAACTGGATGGCTAACAATCAAAATACTTGTTGAACTCATCATGCAGCTAATTGGCGATAAGATACGCATTTTTTCGCTTATCAGTCGGCTAAACAACGCCCAGTTGCGAATGCAGCGTGGAAGCTTTTTATTTGTTTATGTGATTAAATATCGCGTGGCGCCATCTAGATGTGAAGTTTATATCAAAATATATAAATTTCCGATTTCACTTTCAGTGCTGCGATTCATTCATAAAAACGAATGCATCTCATTTACGGTAGGCGTTTTTAGTAGGCGTCGCTTTGGGAAAGTGTTGTTGCTGTTGTTGTTGTTGTTGGCTGCACTATGCGGCGTATACGTGCTGTCGGAGCAATATTAACCAGGCCAAAAAGACGCATATTGATGAGCTGTAATTAACACAACAGTCATGGCCATGGCCGGTTGCGAGGGCGTTGTGTTAATGACGCTGCTTGCCGGCTTAATTATCAACGCTGTGTTGGACACTAAACACCCACACACACTCACTCACACACACACACACATAATCACAGCTGTTTGCTCAGTTTAGCCTGTTATGCGAGAGCTTTTGGCCGTTGTTGTACATTGTGGGCGTCCACAAGAATGCGGTCTGCCTAATGTCGCCTAATTGGTAGCACGACTAACTGAGTGCCTATCGCTGTCTCGACAGTGTTTGCCCGTTTGAGTTGCAAAACATCGTCAACACTTGCTTGACTGCTGCAAGTGCATGGCTGAGGGGTTTTCCACTTAAGCACGTGTTAATGAGCATCCGCTCTTGGAGCCAAAAGTGTGACTAGCTTCGACCAGTGTCGATAATCAGTGATTTGCCCAGACATTTGCACTTTGACGGGCGTTAATAAGTTTCCCGGACGAAAGTGTGACTCGCACTTACCTCAGACAATCGTATAATATATCAACTCAAGGTTAATATAAGAACAACTCGCAAGTATTTAACAGAAAGTATTAACTGCATTTCAGTAATCAAGAATTGATTACTCGTTCTGACATATCAGCAAATATGTTTGTATTATGATAATGATTTAATAATAGAAAGTATAAAAGAATTACAGCTTATATATAAATTTATTGATACCAAATTCCAGCTCATAAAAAATGTGCCCCGTAATTCTATTCATATATTTGATGGGCTTAAGAGTTTCTGATCCCCCGAAGATATATATATCATAATACGATGCAATTATCAACCAGCTAAGTAGGCAATCACACTTTTTACGCTGCCCTACCAATCATCCATCGTAACATGTATTTGCCAATTCGAACAACTTTGTTTACACAATCTCGGGAGCACCATAAAAGGTGCCTATTTACCCGTACAATGACATAAATCGCGCACTCGGCGCACATAAAAATTAAGAAATTAGCCCAGCGGACAGACAGACAACAAAACTGAGCTGCAAGTAAAGGTAAATAACGAGCATGCTCAGACCTCGCTGGCCAGGCACGTAGACCTACTCTGACTCCGAGCCAGAGTCTGAGTCGGAGTCGGAGTCGAACATCGATTGTTGCAGCGTATTCAAGACAGAGACCAAAAGCAAAGCAATCCCCATCATCATCATCATCAAGATTCCCCGATTGTAAAGACTATATTTTCAGTGTGGGCGGCTGAGACAACTCAGACGCTGCCCAGCATACGAAATGAAGCCGGCTTGTGAATGAATTTCGACCAAGAGACAGCCCGCAAAAAAGTAAACGTAAAACAAACTAAAATTAAAACTGGTTGGTAGTTGTCCAACTAATACAGATGTGTGTAAAATTGTTCACATACGAGTATGAAGGAAGTTGTTGCTGAATGCGGCAGTATCGAGTAGGCGTTAGTTGCAGCTGCGGCTAATGAAGCTAACGGTCCAACAGCAGCACCAAAAAACAAAAATATTAACAAAATTACAACAGAAAAATTACCGTAAAGTGGAAAACACTTAATTATGCTAAGCACGTGCAGGCGCTGCTCAATCTAATTGCATGTCAAATACAAATAAAAAGTAAAAAAAAAATAGATAGGAAGTAAATTGAAATCAACATAAATTATATGATACATGTTTGAAAGATTTTGCTTAATGGATTTGAATTCCAGTTTGTTATTATTTAATCTATACAAACCAAAAAAAAAAAAACAAATCAGAGTTACATATTAAAAGATATTACATATTACATATGCAATCGATCTAATTGCATGGCAACTACAAGTAACTTAGAATTTTCGAAAGATTTTAAACTCTTTTAAATTGCAAATTTTCAAAAATCGACTTCTTTTTTAGAAAATATTTATATATATATCAAGTTTTTCTAGACTTCATAATTTACATCTAAAAAGTAACTGAGTTAATGGACCCTCAATGTTCATAGTGTATGAAGCTATTTTTGCTTAATTGCAGCAGTTGGCTTTACACGAGTTTTCATTATGTGTTTTTTTATTTGCTTTAAAGTGGTCCCCATGGAACGACGCAGTGGGTCAATTTATAGATTTTCCTGTGCATTTCATTACCCAATTAATGCATGGCATTTTATGTGGTTACAATTAAGATTCTTCGCGTGTCATAAATTGTATGCGTAAACGCAATAAAAGAGCAAAAATACAAAATATTGTAAACTGCGTGTGGCTAATGAGACCATTTTGGCAACTGTGGCTGGGAGTTGGACTTGGCTAACTCGCCGTTGGCAGTTGACAGCCTGCATTTGCATATCGCATTTAATTGCCTCAATTAACGCTAAGAAAACCAGGCAGGCCTACGACCAAAAAAAATAAGTGTCAAGTCATATCCGCTGTCATAAATTGGACACTACAAAAAATAAACGAATGCATATCAGAAACTTATCTATATTGATCTGAGCCAAATATTTGGGCAAAAAAAAAAAACGGCTTTTTGCTTGCAAGTTTAATTAAAACTCACATGTGAGAGCCGAAAAATGTTAAATATTTGCAAATGTGGCCTGGGGGCGTATAAAATGCGATAGCAAAAGCAAAAAGATATTTGCATACGCCGCTTGCAGCTGAACTTTCCATGTGGGCATCGTGTCTGGACAATGGAAAGTGCGTTTGGGGCACAACTGCAACTGAACTATAACTATAGCCAATATGTTGCTGCTGCCTTTGTTGCTGCTGTGACAAATTGGCTCAGAGCAAATACGTTGTCTTAATGGTGGGTGGGCGTTGGTAACGCCGGCACTCGATGCCCTGTGCGGGCGTCAAAGTTGACCCACATCCGAATCCACCACAGAAGTGGTTCTCATGTGGGCTTAAGCCACGATTTTATAGCTAAATAAAAGTGCCCACGCTATGCCACGCAATCCAGCAGTTCTACGTACCATTTTCCTCAATGAAGGCGCGTTGACTTCGCAAAACCAGCGACCTGCAAATAAAAAAAAAAGAAGAAATTAAAGTTGGTCCAAGAAATGGCAAAAAAAAAAAACACACATGTATGTAGTCAATACTTAAGTGAATGCCTGCTAATCTAAAGAGCTTGTGTCGATTTTCTAAAGCTATAAAATAAAAAGTCTTCGTAGATTCGTCTAAAAGCCACTCATAGCATAATACTCCAAACAAACTCAGACATATACAATATATGTATGCATATGTGTGTCATATATACATATAAATATATATACATATGTTCTTCAGCACTCATTGCCGATTGCTTGACAATGTTGTTATTCGGTCTGCTCAAACGTAAAGACAAATTTATGTATAAGCATAATGATACGTGTATCATAATCATAAACACACATATTAATTTGGACTGCACTCCAAAAATAAGCGACGCCGTCGCTCGTTTCACATGGATGCAACTCGACAGACACACAGTCATTGAGAAGGAGGAGGGGCGGGTGGAGTAAGGGACGCAATCAAATATGGGGGGATAGGGGGTGGCGTGGTCTCCGTGGCTCTTGTCATGCATGCGATACGGAAAGCCGCATAAATCAGTTGACGCATAAATTTTCATTTTACATAAATTTTGGAATCGAAAAGAAACGCAACATGAAAAATATGGCAGCAAATCGCGAAGACGGCTTTCAACAAGATTTATTTATTTTATTTGAAATCAGCAACATTGCTATTGTTGTTTTTGTTGCTGCCGTAAGCGTGGAAAACATGACAGGCAATTAATTTAATAAGATATGAAAATGCACGGCCCGTTGGCAGAGTTTTTCCATCAGCGCCATTTTTGGGTCTAATTGCATCAGGTTGGGGACTCGCTGCCGAAAACAAATTATAAATAATTGCAGCTTCCGTTGCACACAAAAACCGTGGAAACAAATGAAAATGAGAAATGCGGCACGCATACTGCACACACTTTCCAGGAAAATATATATTTTCTGCAGCGATAGGGGGGAGGTAACCAAAGTTCACTAATGAGTGCAGTTGCCTGGGAGTGAAATCGTCGCCGAGACCCTTGCTGCTTTATGGCATGGCAAACAGATTATTGTGGATTTTGTGGCGCGCATATTTTTAAAGATGTTTCAAAATACCGACGACACAGCAACAACAATAACAACAACAGCAACAGCAACAATAGTGACAACACTGAGAACAAAAGGGGCCACAGGCAAAACTCAAAATGTTGACAGCTTGATATATTTTATTATAATTTCCCCAGCAAGTGTGGCACTAACTAAACGAAAGAATCTTGTATCTATGCATCTGTGTATCTGTGTGCAGCGCATACTTGTGTTGCATTCTATAATACGACAGACTATCCCTTGCCCAATACAACATTGATTTATTTATAAATCTGATAGATAAGTTCTATTTGAACAGTTGTCAATAGCAAAACAAATATTTAAGGCCCGACTACTGCACACAAAACATGCGCGCGTTTTATACGCGTTTTACGCGCGTTTCTTGCGGCTTTTTGAACTTTTGCCTCAGAAAACAATAAAAAAAAAGTTGATTTACATCTTTTAAGATTTCCATAACGCTTTCGAATATAAAAATTCTATATTTGGTGTACGATAGAGGGAAAAAGAAGGCAAAGCCTTTGAAAATACTTTACTATACATAATTAATATTTTTATGTACATTTTTTAAATATTTGAGTGCATTTCAGCAATATATGAAATCGTAAATATCTCTTAATAATGTGTAAAATAAAAAAATAAATAGTATTTTCAGAAATATTTAAAGCCGGTTTGTTTATACACAAAGGCAAAATGTTGTTGAGCAATCAATTAGTCAATGTGCCTTTGCATTAGAGTCTTAGCTGATTAACTGGTTTTCTATTAACGTATTTGCCCAATTAATTTAAGACAACTTTAAGCTACATGTGTTTGGCTAATATTCTATTTTTAAACAAATCGTTTCTCTTTGTCACTTTGGCACCTCAATTTGAACCTCCAACTCACACCTTAGTTAACACCCATACACTTTACAGCCACTGAGCTCTGATCTTTAAACTGAGTAAGCAGCGCCAAAATATTTTAATTTTCCGGAGTTCATTTTTTGGGCTTATCGAACTCGAGATCAGCGCGTAGTGTATTTAATGCTTATCGTTACCTCCAAAAACGCTTAACGGCTTCCTGTTCTGTGGGCGTCAGGTGCGTTATCTTTTGGTTGAATTTTGACTCATCGTAGGCCACCAAATCGCCGGGAAGACCACCGATTCCGATACCAATATTGTCAAGACTCACACTCATGCTGCATACGCAATTAAGTGAATGGCTTTATTAGCTGGCACTAAGCACTATACACAGACTAATTAATTGGCATACGTTCGTCGTTATTCGTAGCCAAATGGAAATTCTATGCCGAAATTAATTAGATTTGATGGGCAAGCGAAACTTCACGCCATCGAGGCGACACCAACCATTCTCAGACTGAATTTGGGCATGAGAAATACATTTTACTGCACTTTCTGGCTGACTCAGCTTGGCCACACTTCACTTGGCGCACACACGAGAACAAACTTTATTATTTATTTACGTATTTACTTATTTATTTAGTGTTTTTATTTTTTGGTTTTAGTTCTACGGAACGTGCACGCTCCTCGCTCTAAAATCGCTCGAATCGAACTGAAATCCAACAGAGAAAAACTTTACGTTGTTGCCGCTGAACTTTATGCTCTGTAAGCGTGTTGTATCTCCCTCTGTATGTGTGTGTGTGTGTTTGTGTGTATATATGTGTACCGCAAAGTATTTGTCTTTTTTTTTATTTATTTTTTGTTTGTTGACGACCACAAAAGAGCAGCGGCAAGACTGAACTTTGTTGGGTCAAAACACAATGCGAAGTGGCTTTTGATTTTTTTTTTCACTCTTATTATTTTGCTTCTTGGCCATGCTTCAAGCACAGCTCAACACACAAATGAGAGAGTTATCGATACGATAATTAATAAATATAAGCGTCTGCTAGACAGTAAACCAGTTCGTCGTCGTAACTTGTTGGGACACCCAAACAAGCGTCATGCCCGATAAGCGCTTTACAGCTAGCCGAGTATATATAGATATTTAGATACAATTGCGTCTGGAACTAATATATTGGAGTATTGCTGAGAACAGAAGCGTCAATATGGTTGGTTCTTTGGACCTAAAACGCCTATGGAAATGATTGATGATGCCAAAAGGTGTCGCCTAGCTGTCGCTTGGCCCGAAACAGGGGCATTTGGGGCCTACTTTGATCTTTCAGTCTTTCCTTTTACTAATTCAATTTGACATGCAGTAGCTGAACATTGTATAGCTAAAACAAAATAAAAGAGTATATATATATATATATTGTATAATAATTATTCTTATTGCAAAGAGAGTTCAAGAATCGAGGCAATTTTTTCTTTATAAATACAACAACAAATACAACGATAGACGCCAACAACGTCCGGATTCAAGCTCGACAACTTTAACCCAAAAAAAACCCATATAGATGTATAAATAAACATATTGCTTGCCACACACACAAACACATACGCACATTGACAGACAGCGATAAGATAACACCTAAACAGTTGAAGTCATTACAATGTGTCAAACTGCATGTCATGCAGTCTGTCAGTGCATGCACTACATGTCTATCTGCTGACACGCACAAAAATAACAATAGCAAGATAGCCCAACTTCGATTTAAAGCCAAAATGTTTTCCGTATTCAAAGCGAGTTGAAAAATTACAAAAACTATTTAACATTGATGTGCATTATAAAAAAAGAGAAATTGCTCGCGCCTGCTGAAAGTAATGAGATCAATATAAGGATACGTTGTAGACTAACTTAGATGTTTAAATGGGTTCAAAACTAATTATGGTATAATATATATATGTATATATACATATTTATTGGTATTAGCAATCTACAGAGACTACTCGGCTTATAAAAAAAAAAAAACAACATTAAAATGCTCAATACTCAACTCAAAAGACCACACAAAGTGTGCCTATATATTCGATGACAAAGCATCCACTAATGAAAATGTTTATTTAAGTTGTATAGTAAATAAAATGTTTGCCTGTAACAATAATTATCAATGGCTCATTATGGCTGGCTATTTACACAATTGCCGCCTTAGACGCGATGCGTGTAGTGAACTCCAACTAGCCCAAGTCTCAAGGCATGAAATTGTATTTTTATTTGATTATTGAAGGCAAGTGTTTCTACTTAGTTGACCGCATATTGATTTATGTCTTTGTTTATAATTTTATGTAAATGTCTTCCATGGAAGCGCGTTTCGTATATATAAAAATTGTATTTCATATCAGTTGGTTGGCCGAACTGTTAATGAGCTAACAACGAAAATTTCATGCTCCATGAAATTGGCAGTGAATTCGGTCGCTTATTAATTGTCACGACCCTCGAGGCCGAGGCGTAGATACAAATTAGCTTCGAATTATTGACAGCGGCAACAAAGCTATTTGCGAACGTTAAGTGAGCCGGTTATAATTCGCATTCTCGTATCGTATATCGTATATAATTTTGGGTATCTATCATATATCTATGAATTTATAAACAAGTTTGGTTTTGATTGCTGTTGATTCTATCAGTTTAGCCTGCGGATTTCACGGCTTTTAATTATGCGTTAGCGAACTCTGCACACACATTGGAAATCTCATTGCGGTGTCCCGCAATAAATGTTTAAATAAATGGCTGCAATTATTTATGCGTCACACCCAATCGATTTCTACTATGATATCTGCCGCTGCCTAAGGCCTTACTCAATTCTCAATTCTCCAATTCTCGAGTTCCACTCAATGAAATTCAACAAAAATGTTTTCTTGATTGTTGTTGTAGACAATGTAATTTTATATTGCTTAAATTATTGCCGCCTTGGTTGGAAATCTGTTTCCAACATTTTTTTTTATGGCAAACAACTGACCACCGACGTTGTTCAGTTTTAATAGCTTTTGTAATATTCTTTTTTAATATTTTTTCTGATTAATTATTACAGGATCTTTGGCTGGCAGTTTCTTTTAAGATGCCCCGCTGAGTGGTAAACTACTGTTTTTCCCATAAGTGATGTTGACTCTTAACAAAGTTGTTAAGTTTATGTTAAGTAAATGCCGGGGCTAATGCTGAATTCCAGTTTAGCTAGTAAATAGAATGTATACAAATTCAACATTTATAATACGATGAACTCATGTCTATATTTTTACAACTACATCGTTATTACTCATTGAAATATGCTTTGCTTACTTGTAAGCTCAGAATTAATATATTAAAATATTCTTTTCTTCCATATAAGCCATAATTAAAAGTATAAGAGTCACAACAAAATGTATAAAAGATTGTCGGGTCATTTATTAATAACCCCAGATTGTTAATCTATGCATGAATTAATCAGTACTGCAATTCCAATTGAGTATATAAGAGGCACACAAGCAGGAGAGCTATTTAGTCGATTAAGTGCAGCTGTTGCAGAAAGCCTACTTACAGCAAAGCAATCAAAACAATAAAAGAGCATAAAATGAACTTCTTTAACACATTCACTTTAATGGCCCTAATCTTGGCCATAATTTTGGGACAAACAAGAGCGGATTGGGACACTTTTGAAGCTGAACTTGTAGGTTAAAATCTTCTTGAAAAGTGAATCGAGCTTATATTAAAACAATTGTTCATAATATTACACTTATAGGAAAAAATTGGCAAGCAAGTAGAGGAAATGGGCAAGGCATTCGTAAGTCTCTCTTTTTTAAGATACTTTTAATTCAATTGACAACAACCATATTTTTTTCCAGGAAAATTTTGACCATCCATTTTTTAAGGAAAACTAAATTTCGAACTTTGAAAATATGTAAAAATTATTGTAAATACTTTGTTTGCCGATTAAATACATGCATAAATATAATTATAAATGTATATATATATTGTTTGTTTGTATCTTGCTGAGTATCTTGACAAATAAATAGGAAAATTGCTTTAACTAAACTCAAGTTAATCAACTAGAGAATACCCTGTATTGTCTGTTGATAAGGTCAACTAACTTCAACAAGTGAATTCTAATTTGAGGACACAAAGAGTGAAAATTTGTTATTTACAAATTAAAGGTCTCGAAATTGCTGAGCATACAATAATTGAGCAAGTTTAGTTTCTAAAAATAATATGCGTCAAATTGCCTTAACTCTTATACCCTTCAAGAGCGCATTACAATTCTGTTACAACATGTGTCACACATTGAAGAAGGCATCGGGCTTAATAGAAGAGTATATAAATGACAGTACCTGGTTCTATATATTCTTAGCCATGTTTGAGCTTACTAATGTAAAAATTAATTTATTCATTTATGAAGAGCATACTTAAAGCACATTCATCAATTGCCAGTGCAAGGGCATTTAATATTCGTCACAAAAAAATGTTCATATTTTATTTTTTCGGCAAATTACGTCTTATCAGCAACGCTGCGGCTGTGAGACTTTTATTTATTAATATGCCAGCCAGATAAGGCAGCAGTCGCATAATTCTAGCAGCATCTGCAGCATCTGAAAATCCGAAAAATTCGAAAAAACGAAAAGAATAAAATAAAACGCAAAATGAATTGCAATATTTTCATTTTCATTGTAATTATTTTGCTGGCATTAAGTGTAGATGTAACTCAAGCTAATTGGTGGAATAACATAAAAGATACTTTCGTAAGTTTGAAACTTGTGTATGAAAATATGTTATTTTGATATTAACTTTAAAATCTATAATATAGAATGACATGATTGACGCAATTAAGGACTTATTCTCATAAGAACAGTGCTTGAATCTATTTGTATCCTAAATGATTATTCCGAAAACCAAATGTTATATGTAAATCTTGATGAAAAGATTATAAACAGTCGCAGACCAAAAAACTTGGGAATTTGTTTTTTCACTTTGTTTGTTTCACTGCTCGTAGCCAGTGATATTTGAGAGATTTCTCAGGCATTTAATTTATTCGAGTTCTTCGGCTCATTACAACCCAAGTGTATTTTTACTTGTTTACTGCGCCAAGTGTGAAAGGCAGCTCCATCTTCATTTCCACTTACAAACCGTTGATGTCTCGCCTTTTTCAGGTCATTTCAATCAGCACCTGTCACACGGTTGTGCCAGCGTTGGCGTGTGAAGTATTTCGAGTCGTGTCTAGACGTCACAAAAATTAATTAAAAGAAATTGTTTGGCCGTTGGGCTGCTTGTCGAAAAAAAAAAACAAAATGATGATGAAAAAAACAGCTACCTAGAACATCGTTCGACACTTTCGCTGGCTGGATTTTTCTTTTTGATTTTTGCATATCGATAAGTGGCTAGTTGCGTCCCGTTGCCAGCCATAATTCATACAGTTCGTTGCAGTTTATGACAGGCTAACAAATTTCCTGCTGCCGCCCCATGTGGTCAGCAAAACGGCGGCCATCGTGATACAACAGATACAAAGATGCAAGCATAAGATACAAGCGCCAAAGGCGGCCTGCCATCAAGGCCGGCAACAGAGTCGAGTCTCTGCGGAAAACTTATGTCTACCAAAATGCCATGAGGCGCATAATCGAAAACAGAATGCACGCGTGCGCTGACGCCTGACGCTTGCCGCTTGCTGCTTGCCCCGCCACGCTGTTCAAATTGTAAATTATGATATACGCGCTGCCGATGCCAAACTGAGAAGCATAAATATAGTATTCAAGTTGATTACAATCAAGGCGCTGGCTGGCTAGGTGAGTGTGGCTAGCAAAGGTGAGCAACTTGGGGCATTATCAACTTAGTCATGATCATCGCTTGACCTGCCCACCCACAGTCGCCAGCTATTTGTGAATAATCTGGCTCGACTGTAAATTGGAGACAGGTCCCGCCAATTGCATCACTGCTTAAGCATTTTATTATTACACTGACGGTGATTAGAAATGTAAACAACAACAACAACAATAGCAATAACAGCAACAACAGCAAACCTGAACTGAATGCCATAACATTGAGTCGCGGGGCGTATACATAATTTGCATATGTCAAAGCTGGGGATGCGATGACTCTATGTCTCATTGGGTGCATACAACAAATTTGCTTGCCATTTCACACCTACATATCGCTCTCTCACTCTACAGATATATGTTCTCCTTTACATTAGATTCCCTGCACTTAGAAACGGGAGAAGATTTTTATATTTATATTCCTTACAATTTGTTTAAAATTGATGTTGAAAAAGGTAAGGTACTTCTGAAGGTGCTGTAAAGGGTACTAATAAAATATAGCATATTAGGCAACATTTTGTTGAAGTTTCAAAATCTCTACTGGGTAACTCAGTGTCGAGCAAGCGGAAGCAAAAATGCATTTTGCTTTTGCTCGTTGCCGCCAATTAATAAACATTTACGCTCTTCGCATTGATTACCCGCCAGCGATAAGTTGAAGCGACTTTTAAGACTTGGGCGTATTGAGTTTCCTAATTGAATTTCAAATTTAAAATGCACGCCGGTGAAAGTAAGGCGCAAATTTCATTTAAAAAGGCCACAAGTCGATGACGTCTAATGCAAAAACGCTTTTTGTTTTCGTTTCGTTATTGCTGCCCGATTTTTACGAGGCAGTCGTGAGCGCATAGGCAATAACAAAAATTCAACAAAAATAAAATAAAAATAATGGTTACTTAAAACAATTTCCGAGATTGTTATTTATTGATTTTGTGGTTTTTATTTTTTGTTTTTTTGTTTGCTGCGCAATTGGCCAGTGTTGCTTTTAGCCAAGTTGATTGGGAAGTTGGAACGTTTCTAAAAGGCCGAAAATTTATGCAAATATTTGAACGCCCGAAATGGTGACAACTTGCAAATTTCAGTCATAAAATAAAAACATATATTTTTGTTTTGGCGTTATGGAATTTTCAAGATCGTATTTGTGTCATATGCAAACGAGGCAGTGAGAACCCAAAACTGAAATTCAATAGCCCAAAATAGCAACTATGTGGAGTGTAAATAATGAGTTGTGAATAGCGTAGATCGCTGTTGACAGTTCACAGTAAGCCCCAAAACCTGTTTACACCACTGGCATACTGGGACAAAGGGATTAATGCATGATATCATTATAAACTTTCAGCAGCATCTTTACAATATGGCAAAAAACAAAAAAGAAACACAAAAAAACGATGTAATAGATACGTTTTTTTCTTTACAATTTCCGAGTGCAGGCAAAACACTTTCAACATGATCATCAGCCACTTGACCGCAGCACATAAAAGCCGCAAGCGAAATGAAGTAATTTTTGGTTCAACACTTCGAAAAGACGACTGCAAAAAATTTCAATTGCTCCACAGCATTATAATTATGCCATTACGATTATGAGAGCTCGGAGCTCATTTCACGGCACAACCTTCAATGTGGCAACGTTAAAGTCTACAAATTATAATTGGACATTAAGCTGATGCCCCGAGCACTGCTCTATGCCGACATTCATATCTGTCTATCTATCTAAACAAAAGACAACGAGTCGACAAGTGGCTCACACAATTGGCACTCCTCAAACGGAAGTTGTCTCCAAGGCTGATGCTGATTTCATTCATACAAAATACTCAACTTAAAGTACTTGCCAATTGATGTCGTAAACGCGTATAAGGTAGGCGGGAAGTTCCAAAAACCGCAAACTCAAACAGCTGCTGTTGCTGCATACGAAATGAGATTTGGCAGCTGCAAATCAATATGCATAAAATTTGGCTGCTTCACATTTTCTGCAGCTGCCACATAATATGCACAACCGAAGAATAATTGGGAACCGATTTGACAACTTTCCCACAGCATATCAAAATTCAGCAAGTGCAGCATCGAGTTAAGCCATTACCGATTTCATATCTTATAAGCATACAAAAGTAAATCAGACAGAAAACCAAAATCAAAGTGGCATCTCGATTTAAGCATAGCCGACTTTGAAATACTCTATAGATGTTGATGAGTTTGGAAACTTTGGATACAAATTGTAGTTTAAATTGTCATACTGACAAATCCCTTATTATTTTCTACACATTTAAAATACATCCACATAATTAATTGATACCTCAATCCTATACACTTTCTGCAAGCCATTCTCTATGCCTCTGCTGCAAGGGTAAGTGCAACAGATTTTTGTTGGCAACTGCATAAATCATACTGCGAGCTCCGGTTACAGAAGAGGGCCAAAAACTGCAGAGGCAAGCGTTATTTCTTCACGGTGAGGATGATGATGGCACTCGGTTGATGGAACCAACCGGCTGGCATAATAACAGAGAACTGAGAACTTCTTGGGCACGACGCAAATAACTTGCAGCGTGACTGGATAAAATGCCAAGCCACACAGAGCCCAAGACGATGATGCCCAAGATCCAGACGCCGGACCCAATGCTTTGGCGAGACATCTTTCCAAGTTTCCAATCGTCGCCGGTCGGCAAAATTCAAACAAATCGCTCAAACAATGCAACAACAACAAGACAAAACAAAAAAAAAAAATCGAAAAACTAAAAATAATAAAATACAAAGCATTTTTTTGACACGACTCGCGCAACTTTGTGGCTTTTGTTGCTGTTGCTGTTGTTGGTGTATGTGGAATTTGTGGCTGAGATGTTAGAAAATCGCACAATGCGTTTTATGCCTCTCCTCAGATTTCAGTTAATTGATTAGAAAAACGTGTGGATTTAGATAACATTTTATCCATAAGATGCTGAATTCCCAAAAAAAAACCATATAAGTTTCTTTTAGATAATATTTTAGACATAACATACTGAATTTAAAAGAAAACAACCATTCACATTCCTTTAATATAAACAAAACAAAAAGGAATTAACGAATATGCAATATACTCTTGATTTGAAATTAATGGGACTAGTTTCAAATCGATTTATAACATAAAAAATAGATATGTAGATGGCATGCCA